AACGAAAGACTAAGCAGTGTGCTTTTGTTTGAGTGAGAAGGGCAGACCCCACACTTCTAGGATCACCCAGGATGTTGCAAAGGCTTTTTCTGGTGGCCACTTTCTTCCTTTCTTCAGTTCCTGGTAGGTGTTTACCTTGTTTTAGGTTCTGCTCAATACATCAGTGAGCTACTTGCTTTTCATTTTCTCCAAATATATTTGTTTAACAAATTTTACTAACTAGTTGGGCAGGTTTAATCAGTTGTTGGCAGGAGGCAAGGGGTTTGACTGATATAAACACTCAACGTAAATGAGAGACGAGATGTCTTTAATCAATATATATATCTGATCTGAGAATATGGAAATCAAATGGAAGATTTCCATTCAGCATAATTTAAATAATATGATTTTCAAGTCAAAAAGTGAAATTCATCAAAACCCACCTTGTCATTTTCAGAGCAGGAAAGATGCAGTTGATTTGAAAAGCAGTTGCTGTTATTATTGGAACCAGTGGGTTCGTCCTGTTCCTTTTGAGTTCACATTTTTATATTTAGTTCTTTCATTTACGGTGATGATAAATATGACTAATTAGAAATAAATACATGACCAGTTTTATTTTATAAAGCACTGTGATATTACTTGTTCAAAACAATGTTCTTGCTAAGCCTAACTTGATCATTTACTTCCATTTTGCTGGTTATATCATATGTTTAAGCACTTAAAAGTAGAAGAATCCTACTTTCTAATAGTAAATAATGTTTAGCATCTCTCTCCATTTCTGATAAATTTTTCAATTTGATTGTGGTTAAATTAAATTGGTTAACACATTTCCTTAGCGCGTATTTCTATTTCTAGAGCTTAAGGAGGCACATTAGCTTTTAGTACCTGGGAATCCTTCCTTGGTCAGCCTCTTCTTGGGTTTTATTGGAATGCGTACTGGGACTTAGGAACGAAAACAAATGATCAATAAGAAGTATGGGATTGAGAAGAAAAAATTCTCCTTCCCCCTGCACTCAGTACTTTGTCACTAAAAGTGATTTTTTCTTTTCCCCTGGTTTCTGATTCATTTTTCAGACTTGTGAAAGTTTTATTTAATATCTTTAAATATAGAACAGTGCTAGGCATTTAAGTTACTGACTTAAATTTTCTACTTTTTGAGTCAAACTTAATAAAAATCTCCTTTCCCTACAGTCTCCAAAAATACTCTCACTAAAATTCTTTGGAAGCCTTTGCTTGATTGAAACACAAGAATTGCTTGGGGATTAGCTTTATCTGACAGCATAAAGATCAAGCTGGACCCATGAACAGAATCACTTAATTAACACTGGATTTTATCTACATTATAGCCTTTTCAGTGAACTTGGGCATACAAATGGATTCTGTTCCCCCTGTGTCTGCATTCACTACATGGCACCCAGAGATGCAGTTTCCTTCGAAGTTATACTTAAAAGTGTGACATCGGTGACCACCTGGTGGTGGAAACAGATTCTGAAGTGGTTCTCGTGAGAACGAGGGAAGACAGAAAGCTGCCTACCTTATTTTTCACCTTGCACAGAAATCTGCCCCTTCTTTTTACCTACTATCTGGTATTTTCAAGACTGTCTCCTTGGTCAGTGAAACACCGTGACATTGTTTCCAATAGATTTATTTCCCAGCTGGAAGAGTAAAGCAATTTTAATTTCCCCATCTCTTCTTCTTCTTCTTCTTCTTCTCCTTCTTCTCCTTCTCCTTCTTTTGTTCCCATCATACAAAGAAAAAATATGTGTTTCTCGTACACATAAAATAAAAGAATGGAGTAAAATCAGGCCCACTGTTTGTAACGAGCTTAACAATACCCTGAGAAAAATAACTTACAGAATTTCATCATAGGAAAGAAAAAAAAATTTAAAGGATGTGACAGGTGTTTGGGAGTGAAAAATGAGTGCAGTGACAAAGGAAAAAGGAGTTTACTATGTTTAGCAGAATATCCAGGGGTACAGTACTTTTGAAATTATTTCATTTCAAATTAGTAATTCTTTCTTACCTTTATAAGATTAATAGAAGATGCTAAAGAGTATATATAATTTCATCTTAATAGCTAAATGAGAGACTTAAAAGGATGTGTTTTTCCTCAGTATTTGTACTCACTTTTCCTACAAGAAGTTTAAAATCACCAGATGGTTTGAGGGGGTTCAGAGAATCCCTGAAATTATGTCAACATCATTGCATAAACCCTGATCAGACTTCATGTCATGTGTTCAGTTTGGGAAGACATTGCTTTAAACAGTTTTGGACATACATGAAAATGTCAATATTATGTACAAATATACCAAAATCCACACAAAAAATAAAATATCAATCCAGACCATGTCTATTATATTAATCACGTCAACAAAATTTAACTTTTGAACCTAAAAATAATTACTTAATCCAAACCAAACTGATTTATTTTTTTAATCTAGTTTTGCTGGTCAAAACTAATCCAGTATGTGAATTCTGTGGGAGAGAGAAAGCAAGAATTACAATGAATTAGTAGGAACATATAAAGTTACAGCTCAAATTTGTGCAATCCCTGGAAGGCAGTTAGTTGTGTTTGTTCCATACTCTTCAAAATAATTAGCCTGTGTAATTCAGCTTGGAGGAGGCTGAACCATCTCTATCACCTTAAGGATGAATGAGCCAAAAATATAAAAGTTTGCTACATCTCTCTAGCTGCTGTGTAACTTATTATATATCTCAAATCACACTTGTTCAAGGTCCTTCTTAGTTTCAGAAAAATACGGGTCATTAAGGGAAATTTGATCTGTTTCCTTAGAGAATGTACTATGCTGTAAGAGTTTGGAAAGAGCTGGAACTCATTCATTTTAAACTAAAGAAAGTGAGAGGTTGCCAGAGACTTAAAAAAAAATCTGATTTCTTTTATTAATTGATTTATTTTGCTTGCCATTTGGAAGTGCCCTGTCATCAGAGAGTTGAAAATAAATTTCCCCACTAATTTACATATTTCAACTCCATATTTGAGTCAGTTGGTAATCTTGGATTTCATGAAACATTAGAATTTAGATACTAACTAGAAAGACGGAGATATATATCAAAGAAAACTTGTGTTGGTCAGACTGGCCTGTTCCTTATTCACCTCTTCTGAATAGGGAATGTGCATGTCTTACTACTTCATGCTTTTATTGAAAGAATCATTTGAGTATTTATGACCTGAGGGTAGCTTGGATAATATTTCCTGTCAGAATGATGTGTATTATAGATGAAAACAACTTTTCATAGAGCATTTTTAAGAGTTACTCCATTTGCAACATTGGTGAATATATGGTTTCATGAGCTCCACATTAATGGGACTAATTGCACTGATTGGACACCATCCACCAGCCAGCATGCATGCCTTATGGTTTGCTTGTTTGGTATCACAGAGTTACAGGAGGCTGTAGAGAATTGTGTTGATACCATTAGTTAATTTCTGGCAGGAGTAATTTTCTTACCTCTTGACATCATATTATTTTGAAATAATTGTGATAATTACAAAAATTTTTACTTAATGGAAAGACAAAGATTGATTAAATGTTTCTTTAGGTTTTTGAACCACTATCACGAAAGCTGTTAATAACTAATGTTACTATTGTCTTTTACCCAAAATTAAGTAAATAGAAATAAGAGATGGCCAGTGATTATCTCTGTAACAGCAAATCAGGAAAATTGTGATATAGTGTTGGAAGTGTGACTATGTGGTAAGACTTATTTTTTCAACTAACTAGAACTTTATCCAAATGATCATTGCCTCTTTGAAGAGATTACAGGAGAGTCTGTATTTATTTGCATAAAATTGTAAACTTCTCGAACTGGCCAGAGATCATGTAACCTGCCTTCTCTTTTCAAATAATTTAAAAAGCCCAAACTAAACCCAAAGTTAAGGCATTCTAATACTGATGTCTTTATGTGTTTTTGAAATCTTTTTAAGAATAAATCCCACAACATTGAATAGAAACTGTTTCATTTTAATACCCCATTTTTTACCCCATGAGTTTTTAGACAATTTAATCACTTTTTCTATCTTTCAAAGTTAGATGTAAATGGCTCCTGAGTGATCAAATAAAATAAAGCCATCCTAAAAATAGCAAAAGAAAATTGAAATCACCAGGAATTTAAAAAATGTCTGCTTTAGTTTCTAAAGAAATGTTTTAAAAATTAATCTTTATTCTTTGGAGCAAATTGAGATAAGTATACAGTCATCCAAGGTGACTAACATTTCTTAAAAGATCAACCAGAGTAACATAAATTTATATTACCATAGAAGACACAGGTTTGAGTACTATAATGATCTAGAGTTACCTTTAGAGAGTCTTCTAGTCTACACAGAAAACTAAGGCTAGCACAGTGTCAGTCAGTCCCTGGGCTGGGCCCTGGTTCCTACTGCATCTACACTCTGCATGGACTGCAGCCTTTTTAGCAGTCAAAGAGCATGTCTGTTGACATTTCCTCTGGCTCCATTCTGCACAGAACAGGGACTGGACCATGTGGGCAAAGAAAAAGGAAAAGAAAAGAATATAGAAATTTCAGGGTGGGGATAGAATCTGCAACCCAGATATATGCCCTTGACTGGGAATGGAACCTGAGACCTAGGCCAAGGCCACTGGATAGTTTTAAGAGTGCATCAACTCTACCACTCTGACACTGATTTAGCTTCATAAAGGATTCATTTGGCTTCTGCCTTCCTTGGCTGGCTTTTGTTTATATTGCTTGCTCCATTCTTCTGTAGGGGTTCCAAGACAGCAAAGAGAAGTGGGAAAATTCAAAGGAAATATTGTCAGTGGAGAAATATTTGAAAGTATAGGTTAAAGTAAAGATTTGAAAGGAAGAGTGGGTCTCTGATTTTGTGGATCTCTTCTGGTGTCCGCACTTTAATAATCCTCTGACACAAGTCAAAGTCTCTGTGGTGACATCATTCATCAGAAATGCATACGGATGACCATTGATGACCAGCCTATATTAGTTCTGCTTAGCTAACTCTTCTCTCACCTTCTTTTTAGTAAATGGTATAAAAGATCCCCCTGGAGTAAAGTATGAAGTGATTTATCCCAGAAGACTTCATCCACTATATAAAAGAGGGGTAAAGGAGCCAGATCAACAGGTACAGATTTTGATTTAACAAAGACAAAAAATCTTGAAAAAAACCAAATATATATATATACACAAAATACACATACATGCAACATATAAACACACATTATATATTTATATAAATGTATAATTATATTTAATATATATATACACACATTTGCATTTGTTTTCTGACCTATGTCAACATTCTTACGGTAATATATAATTTATTCTGTGTACTCCCAAAGAAATTTGATGCAATTTATTATCTATCTGTCTTTACATATATATACAAACAAAATTGATGTAGAAAATAAAATATCGTGGATGAATGCATGCATATATGTATATTAAATTAAGATTAATTATTGTAACTGAAGATGACATTTACCTCTGTCTTTTCTAAAAAGGCAGCTAATTCTCTCTCATCGATGTTTCTTTCTCTCCCTCCCTCTGTCTATCATATCAATAAAGAAAAAAAAATTTTTAAAAAGTAGGCCAGTATTGCTCAGTGGTTGAGCATTGACCCATGCACCAAGAGGTTGCTGGTTCGATTCCCAGTCAGGACACATGCCCACACTGTGGGCCTAATCCTCAGTGGGGGGCATGCAGGAGGCGGCCAATCAATGTTTTCTCTCATCAATGTTTCTATCTCTCTCTCCCTTTCCCTTCCTCTCTCTCTCTCTCTCTCATATCAATAAAGAAAAAAAATTTTATAAGGCAGGTATTAAAGTTTATATAATTATTAGTAATTAAAAAAATGACACATTCTTAGTCAAAAGAGGTAAGTTAAAACACAGTAATTCATTCAATAACAATTTTCTAATTACCTTCACCTGAAACTCTTTTGTGGGGAGCCAGGAAAATCCAGATAAATGAGACATAAATAATAACTTACACTCTCTATTGTAAGATGCAACTCACTGGGAGTTCATATTTCCCAACTGAATAATGCCAGATACCTTTCTTTACTGAATATTTGGAGAACAATTTAATACGTGTCCAGTGCTTTTTATCACTGTTATATAGTAAGTTTCTCATAACTATAAAAATACACTTAAGTTTTTGAACAATTTATTTTAATAAAAAAACATAAAATAGTTATTGGCACATACTAGATGTTCCATCAATTTATTAAATGATTGAGTAGATAGATACAGTTGATGCAATGTGCTTGATATTTATTGAAAATACATATTTATCTAGTCACCTGTACAGTTAACCGGCTGTATGAACCTTATGTTTTCCTGATCCATAGTGAAAGTGTAAAAGATCTGAATTCAGAGGGCTTGTTTGTGTTCATGTCTTGCCTTTGCTAATTCTCTCTGTGAAAATTTAGGCATACAGGAACTTCAAATTCTTTGTGTGAAAATTAAGATAATAATAGTCATTCCTATCTTATGTGACTATTTTGAGGTAATTACACAACAAGCAAAGCAACATGCAATAATTAACTTCCCGTTCCAGTTTATGCTATGATGCTATCCTAAGTAACCTATCATATTCTACTTCTTATGACTAGCTTTTAAGGCATTTTGTAATTAATGCTGTGGCTTATTAAGTCATTTTGTTATCTTCAGTCACCCTGGGTATTTTAAAGGCTTTTCTTAATGATATGCTTGCAGACCTGTATGCCCTTTCTTATGGAGCTCTTGCTCCTTAAAATGTTCTTTCTATATGTAAAGTCCAGTCCACCTTATATTCTTTTAATTAATTTTTTAAATTAAAAAATTTTAATTCTCACCCAAGTACATGCTTAGAGGTGGGGGGGGGGAGAAGAGAGAGAAACATCAGTGAGAGAAAGAGAAACATCCAACAGTTGCCCTCCATATGCTCCCGGACTCAGTATTGAACCCCCACCCTAGGAATGCTGACCTGGAATCAAACCAGCAACCATAGTGCATGGGACTATGCTCAACCAACTGAGCCACTCCAGCTGGCCATCTTAGATTCTTTGTAATAGATGCCTTTTCTGAAGTCATGCTTTAGTCATGGTCAGTATTATGCCATTTGGCTCTTGATTTTATTTTTTTAAGGTAGATTTTAGTTTAGTGGTAGTGTGTGTGGTAGTGTGTGTGTGCCTGTGTGTTCCTATGAGAGTGTGTGTGATTTTGTCTTCTGATTTGAAACTACCCAGGTCAATAACAGTGTTTTCTGTATCTTTGACATGTCTCAGTCTCTCCTACCCTCATCTCCTACTCCCTATAGATTTAACAAGTAAAAATACAGCTCACCCACTTAAATGTGAATGTCAGATAAACAATTAATGCTTTTTTACTATAAGTATTCACAAATATTATATGGGACATGCTGATATTAAAAAATTATTCACTGTTTATCTGACATTCTAATTTAACTGGTGTCCTGTATTTTACCTGGCTATCATACCATGTGCTTTTTTAAAAAATCTCCCTGTGAACATCTAGAACTATATCAGAGAAGTCTCTCTGTTATTCCAGCCCTTGGCCCATCCACAAATATAAGACCCCATGCTGCTGCATGTCTAATATTTCAATCCTGCCCTGTCATGGTTATTGGTTTCTGCCATATCACACTTGCCTCCCAAGCATAAATCTAGAGAAGCTAGTGACATCCATGTCTGCCATGCACAAGAAACATTCTTTTCCCTGACATAAAATATTCTCCTTTTGCTCAGGTACATATTATGACTAATAAAAATACTGTCACTGATAAAAACTAAAGTTTTAGGGGTTATTCTTGTGATTTCTATATTGAGACTATTGGTCTTTCTTGTTCAAAGAACTGATTAGCAATTACTCAAAACATCCAGAATTCATAATGTATGTGACCAAGGGGATCTCTGTATCCAGTAGTTGTCCCCTAGGTTTCAGTCTCGATTAATCACATATCAAGGCCTCCTGAAGAGGAGGGCTCATACTTATTATTTGTTATACAGCTGAGCCCTTTACTAGACCAGAAACTCAGGCACCAGTGATACCTATCATCTGTGTCAGAAATATGGCTTCATTTTTCTAAGTTTATTATGACTGGCCACATGACTTACAATTTGAGTTGGAATGAAATAATCCTTTGAAAAACTTTCTGGAGGGGGTAGAACCTTGATTGTTTTATTTAAGGTTATAGATTGCATTCATGATTGTATTTAATATACACAGCATAGGGAAAAAATAAATATTTGAATAAATGAAAAAGTAAATAAATAGACAAATGGGCAAATGAATAAAGGAATATAAATGGAGTATATTGCCCACGCAGCTGCATAAATATGTATTCAACAAATACTTAAGCAATGTCCCTGATATTGGGAATTACATTCAAAAGGTGGTCACTATTCTTCTTCGAATTCAGCCTCCAGCTCACATGCTTCTTCAAAGGCCAAAACCATTTTACTTTTGGCTCATGCCATAAAAATATCTGGCAGCATAATGCTTCCCCTTTTTAGGAACAATTTTGGGCCTTAGCTAGGTCCATCAGGGTTTGTAGAAGTCTTGAATTTTCTGTATGTTATGGCAAAACTTAAGATCTTCCTGGGACTTGTAGGGTTTCCTTTGTTATTTCCTGTGTGCCCATGAGAATCATCTTGACCTCCCAGATCTTCTCACATTTAGGACCACCCAGGACTATGGTCTTCCTAATCCATTCCCTAAATCTTAACCATGCCATTTTTTTCTGGAGAAAATTTTTGTATATATAGTATTTGATCAGCTAAATTTACTCAGTGAACTCCACATCATTTCCTTCTAGTAGATGGTCTCCAAATCAAGCTGCAGTTTTCCTCTCCTAGCCCTTAGTTTAGAACCCAGATTGGACACACTTCTTATCAGCAGGCATTGCTTGTCACCACAGACTTATATTTGAGAAGTATAGTTTAAACTCACCCATTGCACCCTCTTCCGTAGAGACTCTGGTTTTCTCCCCTGCTGTTTCCTTTGATCCATAATCTCTATGCTAGTGCTGGCTAAAATTCCCACTCCAAAAGCAATGATTATTTTTTAAAAGTCTCCAAGTAATGTTTTAGGTGAAGATTCTTCAAAACTCTATTGCTAATATAAGCAGATATCTGGAAGGATCTTCTGGTTAGAAGTTCATATCTTGTATCCTCCTAGTAATTTTATTCTATATGGCCCTTTCTTAAACCTGAATAATAAATGGTTAGAGCAATTCCCCATGAATTTTATTTTTCACCCTCAGGGTTTTTTCACCTTCTGTTATTCATGAAAATGAACTAAATTACAGCAGCCTCTCTCCACCTAGGCCTATATTATAGGATATTTATAGTCATGGACTTTTGACCCCAGCGAAGGCACCAATAATTGATAATTAAAAGCAAATATGGGCCAAAATAACTGACTTATACCCCTAACCTGATGGGTCTAATTTGCTATTATTTCTTTGGGACCTCTGGTACTGTTCTGGCCAGGAGAGGGAAGAGAGGAGAAAAGCTGGGCCTTAGGTACAACAGCAGAGGGAAGAGCACTTAGTCCATCATAAGCAGTGGATCTCTTTAATAACAATGTCCTGGCACTTCCCGGTGAATTTTTAGACCTAGTTTTATAGAACAAAGTCAAAACTCAGACTCAATAAGATCTTTAAAAATACAGTCATCCCTTGTTTATCTGTTCCAGACTCTGTCGGTTGCACCTGGCGTTGAAGGATTCTTGGGGGGCTCGAATACATAGGCCTACAGTCCATATGTACAGTAATTTTAATTTTAATTGTAATACAGGGTGTATAATTAACTCAGACAACCGAGCATGTGCTGTATCATTTTCACTGTCTCAATTAACTTTTAATGAATATATTTGAAAAAAAAACATGATAGAGTGAAGCTGTGAAAGTCAAAGCACAAAGTGGCGAAGGATGACTGTACTCTATATTGTCCTCTATAGCTCCTCCCATATATATAAATCTCAACTTAAAATAGTACTCCTATTCTACATGGTTTACCTGAAGTGATTTTTTTCTCTTTCTGAATATGAGACTGTGTTTTTTTCCCAATGGCTTCTTCCTGCCTTAAGGTACAAATTCCTGCTATTTTTGTCCATATTCCCACCTCCACTAAAAATTACCAGTAGTGAGAGCCTTAGAGGTCTTTGGATCAGTGTGCATACTATTCCTTCTCCTCAAATGACTTCCTCACCCTGCTTCACTGGGCTAATTCATATCTCAGCTTATACAACTCTTCCCCAGGAAAGCCTTTCCTTCCCTAGACATACTATATGACTTCCCTATTTATATCAAATATGTCATACAACATAACTCACATCTATTTTTCCACAAGATTATAAGCTGTATGATAGCAGGTACCAATTTTTGTTGCTTCAAGTTGAATTTTTAGAACTGAGCCATATCTTACAAATACCCAGCACTCAAAAAATATTTGTAAAATGCATGGATAGATGAATGGGTGGGCAGATGGATGTATATAAAGGTCTCATGTAATTTATCCATTTAGTTGGCGAAGTTGTTTGATTTGTTAAGAGAGGCAGAAGAAGACATTTAACATTATACAGACTACTGTTAAAGAAATGCAGGCATTGCTAGCAAATAATTAAACAGATGGACTTAGCAAAATGAGTATTTGTGTGTGTGTTTTACTTACCAGCAAATGTTTGTGCATTTTTGTAGGAAAAATTTGAAACTGAATTGAAGTATAAAATGACAGTTAATGGAAAAATCGCAGTGCTTTATTTGAAAAAATCCAAGTAAGTGTCTTTACTTTTGATATAATCCTTAGCAACAGCAAGTTAGCATGTGGGAAGTGTGCTGAGTTTGTTATCACTTATGCCTCACATAAACCTTGACTAATCAGCTTTTGCTCTCAACTTGCCTAAGAGGTTAATGAATATTTATTCCTACTGAAGTAGAAAAGCATTGGGTAAAACAACAGTTGACTAGTATTTTGATACTTGTAGTAATAAAAAAATAAATGAGGTGCAAGCAGAGATACATTTTTTTCAAATTTGATGAAATAGCTATAGATTTTTAACTTTTCCCCTACATTATTTCTTTTTAGTATTCTAAAACCAAAAGATTAGATTTTTAAAACAATTTGAAACCATTTTTATTAAGAAAAAAATAAGACATATATAAGTTAAATAAAGTCTAGGGCCAAGAATCAGTCAGTGGTAAAACCAGAGTTGGGCTCTCCTGATTTCAACACCAATGCCTTTTCTACCTAGGTGTCAACTAACCTGTCCATTTCTCTCATAGGTTACATTGGACTCTTATTCCTATTTTTTTTATCCAGTTCATCAAAATTCAACATTGCTTTTTAAGTTTCACTGCCTGAGCTCTCATGCAGATCTTGATTATCCTGCCTACACTATTTCAATTTTGTGCTAATTTTTCCAATGTGTGCTTTCAAGCTCTGTTCTATATAGGACAGGAAAATAGACAAATAGACAATCACCTTTTGCAAAATATCATAACTGACTGGAGTTTGGAAATAGAAATAATATAGGCTCATGATGAAGGCAGACCTAAACATGATTCTATGAACTATTTAATCTCATCTGAAAATTAGATAATAATATTTACCTTGTATGATTGTTAAAAAGATTATATTAAATGACTCATGTAATGTGTCTGAGTATAGAGACAACATTTAATACATATTAGTTACTTTTTTTCTCTTTGCCCTAACTCTTTTTAAACATATCAGTACTTCCAAATTCTTTTTATGAGGCCAGCATACTTCTAATTCCAAAACCAAATAAAGACACTACAAAGAAAAAAAAAACTATAGGCCAATATCCCTGATAAACATAGATGGAGAAATGCTTAAGAAATATTAACATATCAGGATGTAGCATACATTAAAAAAATTATTCACCTTGACCAAGTGGGATTCATGCCAAGGATGCAAGACTGGTACCATATTCACAAATCAATAAATATGACACGCCACTTAAACAAAATGAAAGATAAAAACCATATAATCATATCAGTAGACACTGAAAAAGAATTTGACAAAATTCAGCACCCATTTCTGATGAAAATGCTTAGCAATGTGGGAATCAAGGGATCATATCTTAACATAACAAAGGCCATATATGAAAAACCTACAGCCAACATCATACTCAATGGGCAAAAACCAAAAGTATTTCCCTTAAGAACAAGAACAAGAGAGGGATGCCCACTTTTACCACTCTTATTTAACATAGTACTGGAAGTCTTAGCCACAGTAATTAGATAAGAAGAAAAAATAAAAGGGATCCCAGTTGTAAAGGAGGAAGTAAAACTGTCACTATTCGCTTGCAACACGATAGTGTATATAGAAAGCTGGCAACATGATATTGCATATAGGAAACCCTAAAGACTCCATAAAAAATCTACTAGATTTAATTAATTTGGCAAAGTAGGCTACAAAATTAACATCCAGAAATCGATGGCATTCTTATACACCAACAATGAACACTAAGAAAGGGAAATAAAGTCATATTTACCATTGAAACAAAAAATACAATAAAATACCTAGGAATAAACTTAACCAAGGAAATAAAAGACCTGTTCTCAGAAAACTACATTGACATTGAAAAATGAAATAAAAGAAGTTATAAAAATATAGAAACATATACCGTGTTCATGGATCAGAAAAATCAACATCATTAAAATGTCCATGCTACCCAAAGCAATCTACAGATTCACTGCAATCCCTATTAAGGTACCAACGGAATATCTCACAGATGTAGAACAAACCACAAAAGACCCCAAATAGCCACAGCAATTTTGAAAAAGAAGAACAAAATTGGAGGGATCACAATGCCAGATATCAAGTTATATTACAAAGCCACTGTAATCAAAACAGCCTAGTACTGGCACAAGAACAGGCAGATAGATCAATGGAACAGAACAGAGAATACATATATTGACCCAAGACAGTATGCACAATAATATTTGACAAAGGAGGCAAGAGCATACAATGGAGAAAAGATAGTCTCTTCAATAAATGGTGTTGATGCCCTGGCCAGTTTGGCTCAGCAGTTAGAGCACTGGCCTGCGGTCCAGAGAGACCCAGGTTCGGTTCCTGCTAGGGGTATGTACTTCGATTGCAATTTGTCCCCAGCCCTGGTTGGGTCAGGCGGGTGGCAGCTACTCGATGTGTCCCTTTCACATTGATGTTTCTCTCTCTCTTCCTCTCTCTCCCTCCTGCTCTATCTGAATAAAGTGGAAAAAATTTAAAAATAAATAAATAAAAAATAAACAGTGTTGGGAAAATTGGATAGATATATGCAAAAAAAAAAAAAGAAACTAGATCACCGACTTACACCATACACAAGAATAAACTTAAAATGGACAAAACACTTAAATGTAACCCATGGAACCATAAAAACCCTGGAAGAAAATGTAGGCAAAAAAATCTCAGACATCATCTGTAGTGAATTTTCACTGCTGCATTACCTAGGGCTAGAAAAACAAAGGAAAAGAATTAATAAATGGGACTACATCAAATGTAAAAGCTTCTTCATGGCTAAAGAAACCAGCATCAAAATGAAAAGGGTAACCACTCTGTGGGAGAACATATTTGTCAACAATACATCAGATTAAGGGGTTAATATCCAAAATATATAGAATACTTCTACAACGCAACAAAAGGAAGACAATCCAATCAAAAAATGGGCAGGGGACCTGAATAGACATTTCTCCAAAAAGGACATACAAAAGGCCAGGAGACAAATAAAAAAATGCTCATCATCTCTAATCGTCAGAGATCCAAATTAAAATGACTATGAGATATCACCTGACACCTTCCAGAATGGCAACCATCAGCAAATCCTCAAATAACAAATGCTGGTGAAAATGTGGAGAAAAGGGTACCCTACCACACTGCTGGTGGGAATGCAGACTGGTGCAGTCACTATGGATAACAATATGGTGTTTCCTCAAAAAATTAAAAATGGAACTGCCATTTGACCCAGTTCTTTGAATATATCCTAAAAAGCCTGAAAAACCAATCAGGAAGAATATATACACCCCTGTGTTCATAGCAGCACTGTTTTTAATAGCTAAGATCTGGAAACAGCCTAAGTGTCCATCAGTAGATGAGTGGATAAAAAACCTGTTGTACATTTGCACAATGGAGTACTATGCCACTATAAGAAAGATAGATCTTTACCTTTTGAGACAACATGGAGGGACCTGGAGAGTATTATGCTAAGCAAAATAAGCCAGTATGAGAAAGACAAGTACCACATGATCTCACTTATTTATGGAACATAATGAACAAAATAAGCTGTTGACCAAAAGAGATCCAGAATGATGGAAATTGGGAACAGACTGACAAAACTCAGAGGAATGGAGTGTGGTAGGGGTGGGAAGAGATAAACCAAAAGAACTTATATGCATATATGCATAACCAATCTGCATGGACACTAGGCTGGGGAAGAAAGTAGGGGTGTAGGAAAAGGAAGGAGGGGTTCAATGGGGATGAAAAGGGAACATCTCTAATACTTCCAACAATAAAAATAATAAATAAATAAATAAATACATAAATAAATAAATAAAATGTATTCAGGCTCCTATTTTCTAGAGAGTAATTGAAAGAATTTTAAGAAGCTCAGCAGAAATGCTGAAAGGGCCCTAACTACCAAATGCAAGTCAATTTTCAATACACTTTAACAACCATTGGTAACTGAAAGGGCTACGTGAAATGCAGTTATCGTAAACTGGTGAGGAACATTGCTCTTTTCAATCACTTTTACCACCTTTCCCCTTCTCAGTTTAATTTCTTCCTCAAATCTCTCCTCAGACAAGTATGCAAAGTCTGATTACAAAGCAGACATTGTTCCAGACTACTCAAGAATATCACTGGTCCTCTCAGTCTCTCCGTTGTAAGCATTCCTTTCATGTTTGGACTTGTCTTAAGGGGTTAGGAGGAGGAGCTCAGGAGTTAAAACTTTACTGCACACCCAGTGAAGGCTCTCACTTTGATCACTGAACTTTGCAATTAGCATGAGTAACCATGACTTTTTTTTTTCCCCTCCAGGAATCTCCTTGCACCAGGCTATACAGAAACACATTATAATTCCACTGGAAAGGAGGTCACCACCAGCCCACAGATCATGGTAAAATAGAGTATCCTAGATTTATTGTTAATTGGGTATGACCCACACGTCCAAGTGCAGCATCATTACCAAACAAATACTGAAAGGGAAGTAGCATTTATAGCATTAGTGCTTTATTTAGTAGTTATTTCTTCATTGATCCTCCATCACTTGGAGAGTTTGACAAACAACAAAGTCATTTCTTGACAACCACGGTAATCCTTTCCAGCCTTCAAGGGCTCCCTATAGAAGAGTGGGCAGAAGGAGCTTCTTAATTTCATTAAAAGAGTGAAAAATTATATACCTCTGGTGTTTGGAGTTAATGCCAATCAGCTCTCTAGAGCACCTGGTCTCTCAAACTCGTCTATTTCATCAATGGTAGAATTATAAAATTCTAGGTTTTCTTTAAATAAAGTTTACTCTTGACTCTACTCAAAGAAGATGACAGTGTAAAGTAACATAAAGTATATTTTATCATTGCCATCTTTTCAGGGGTTTGTTTTCTATTGGAAGACCTACACACATTCTCTTCTATAAAATTATGGAGTAGCACAGGGACTTACATGGGCCAATACCCCATCTTTCCAAAAGTAGAAAGGTGTACTTGATAGAAGTACATACACATGAAAAAGAGTTAGGATTGGACATTTTGCTCCAAATGTACTAGTCCGATTAGTCTGGTGAAACTCCTTGGATAAATCAAGAAATGACAACACAATCTGAATAACATTCATTTGAAAGAGTTCGTAGTTGTTAGAAAGAAAATAGATAAGCAGTCAAAGAAAGGAATGAATGTCTGATGTTTTGGGAGCTCAGGTTTAAACATACATCTATCAGTTTGTTTCTTCCAGACTGTATTCACCAGTATCCTCTTTCTGCAGCACCGACATTTACACCAACATTGAGTTAGCAATATGTAAGCATTTGGGGTTATTAAGTAATTATTAAAGATTTTAAACATAAAAAACTTTAAAAATGTTTTTATTATCTCTAGGTTGACTGTTAGCATAAAATAATTTGAAAACATTGTAGATACTATTACAAGATCTCAAATTTAAATTTAACAGTGGGTCTAAAAGCAAGCACACTTTTCTTTATAAAACTCCTCTTCTATTATTAGGATGACTGTTATTACCAAGGACACATCATTAATGAAAATATTTCTGAAGCTAGCATCAGCACATGTAGGGGTCTAAGGTAAGACTTCATGAATGGTTTGTATGTATCTTTGATGATGGTGTGTGTGTGTGTATGCGTGTGTGTGTGTGTGTGTGTGTGTGTGTGTGTTTAATAAACCTAAAAAAGGGGGGCATCTGTAATAGTGTCAAATATGTATGAACTTAAATGTGTTATAGAGGAATATAAATTTAAATGCTAAAACTTTGAAATTTGAAGGAAACACGCCTGCTGTTGATAGCAGTTTAGATATTACAAAGCTGAATTTCTTTCCGAGCTGCTTTTCTTTGATTGTTTGCTTTTTTTGTTTGTTTGTTTGTTTTTTTATCCTCACCCAAGGACATTTTTTCCATTTTTTGTTCAGGTAGAGTGGGAGGGAGAGAGGAAGAGAGAGAAAGAGAGAAACATCGACGTGAAAGGGACACATCGAGTGGCTGCCACCCGCACGACCAACCAGGGCCAGAGATAAACTGCAACCGAGGTATGTGCCCTTAGCGGGAACGAACCCAGGTCTCTCTGGACCGCAGGCCGACACTCTAACCGCTGAGCCAAACCAGCCAGGGCTGTTTGCTTGTTTTAAAAATATAAACTTTCCAGGTTTCTCCATGTACCACAGCTTTTTTATCCATTTGTCTACTGATGGACACTTGGGCTGTTTCCAGATCTTAGCTATTGTAAATAGTGCTGCAATGAACATGGGGGTACATATATTCTTTCTGATTGGTGTTTCATGCTTCTTAGGGTATAGTCCTAGAAGTGGGATCACTGGGTCAAATGGGAGTTCAATTTTTAATTTTTTGAGGTAGCACCATAGTGTTTTCCATAGTGGCTGCACCAGTCTGCATTCCCACCAGCAGTGTACTAGAGTCCCCTTTTCTCCACACTCTCGCCAGCACTTGTTTGATGATTTGTTGATGGCAGCCATTCTGACAGGTGTGAGGTGATACCTCATTGTTGTTTTAATTTGTATCTCTCTGATGAGTAGTGATGTTGAGCATTTCTTCATATGTCTCTTAGCCATTTGTATGTCCTATTTGGAGAGGTGTCTATTTAGTTCCTCTGCCCATTTTTTAATTGGGTTTTTTTGTCTTCCTTTTGTTAAGTTGTATGAGCACTCTATATATATTGGAAATTAACCCCTTATCTGATATATCATTGGCAATTATGCTCTCCCATACAGTGGGTTGCTTTTCTATTTTCATGATTGTATCTTTTGCTGTGCAGAAGATTTGAGTTTGATATAACCCCGTATGTTCATTTTCTCCTTTGTTTCTATTGCCTTAGGTGATGTATCAGTGAAAATTCTGCTGTGTATAATATCTGAAATTTTCTTGCCTACAGTTTCTTCTAGGATTTTTATGGATTCACGGGTCACATTTAAGACTTTTATCCATTTTGAGTTTATTTTTGTGTATGGTATAAGTTGATGGTCAGTTTCATTTTTTTGCATGTAGCTGTCCAATTTTCCCAACATGATTTCTTAAAGAGTCTGTCTTTACTCCATTGTATGCTCTTGCCACCTTTGTCAAATATTAATTGAGCATATTACCTTGGGTCCATTTCTGGGTTCTCTGTTCTGTTCCACTGGTCTATATGCCTGTTCTTGTGCCAGTACCAGGCTGTTTTGATTACAGTGGCTTTGTAGTATAACCTGAAATCTGGTAATGTTATCCCTCCAACTTTGTTCTTCTTTTTCAAGATTGCTGTGGCTATTGGAGGTCTTTTTTTGGTTCCATAAGAACTTTTGAAGTATTTGTCCTGGAAAGTATTATCCTAAGCAAAACAAGCAAAGCAGAGAAAAACAAATATCACATGATCTCACTTATTTGTGGAATATAATGAACATAACAGTCTGAGGAATGAGGTAGTCCCAGAAATGTGGAATTGCGGTACAGACTGACAATCTCCTGAAGAGGGGGTGGGGAGGAGATAAACCACAGAACTTATATGCATATCTGTATGAACAATGGACAAGGACAACAAAGGTGGAGACAAGGTGGGGAGGGGGGGATGGGGGAATCAGTGAGTGAAAAAAGGGAAACATCTGTAACAAAAATGAATAAATTAAAATAAATAAATAAATAAATAAAACTATAAACTTTGAGTCCCAATTTTAAAGTTAGAACTTTTAGGAAATGGGTTCTTCTCTTCACATTCTCTCTAAAATCTCTGGCTTGTCCTATTCATGTCTGTCATATCCATTTCTTACTCTGTGCTAAGACTCCCCATGTATCTGTCAATAACAGGATGTCCACACTTCTGATGCCCAGACTTGAATATCTAACTTTTTCTTTCATAACTCCACATCTGTTCCATATCTGGATATCTTAATGAAATCTCAATCAAGTTAGTGATGTTCTCCAAAATCTGGTATTTTTCCAGTGTTCCTTATCTCAATGAGTGGTATAATTAATCTACTACTTGCCCAATTCAGAAACCACTTAACTGACTTATTGCCTCTCAGGTACCCATTTTCAATCCATTATCAATCCCTATTGATTATATGTTCTAAATATTTTCTGCAATTATTCACTACATTCTCTCTTTGCTACCACCTCTTAGTCCTAACTACCAAGATCTTTATGCAGAACATTACAATGAACCACTGAATTTATCTCTCCACATCACCTCTTGTCTTCTAATTCGATGTATACTTAATCCATTTGCCCTATTATATATTCTTGTGCTTTTCTTCTTGGCAATTATCTGTTGTAATGATGTATATTATATATGTCATATAAGTGTGTGTCTGTGTATACATATATATATGTATACACACACACACATACAGTCGTCCCTCATTATTTCATGCTTCAACATTCACAGCTTTACTCTATCGCGGTTTTTTCACATATATTCATTAAAAAGTTGATCAAGACAGTGAAAATGATACAGCATGCACTCGGTTGTCTGAGTTAATTATACACCTCTGTATTACAATTAAAATTAAAATTACTGTACATATGGATTATAGGCCTATGTATTCGAGCACCCCTGCAAATCCTTCAATGGTCCTGCAACCACTCAACCACTCCTTGTGTGTGGGCAATAACTTTTTTCCAAAAAATCGGGTGTGGTACAACCAAGCCAATCAGAACGTGCTGCTCACTGATTAAATATCTTATCCTGGCCACTGATTAATTCAGCCTCATGAATGTTTGTTTCTCTCATACACGCTTCTACATCGCTATGCATCGGAAGCATCTTTGCTCTTGTTAAGTGTTTGGGATTTCTGAGAACTTTTATCTAAGCCCCACGATGGCTTCTAAATGTGCTTCTAAGCCTTCTGACGATGAAACTAAGTTCCAAAGGAAGATGCTTACCATCCAGGAGAAGGTGAAACTCTTGGATATGATCAAAGATGGCAAGAAAATTGTGGAGGTTGCCTGCCATTAAGACTTGAATGAGTCTACCATTTGCTCCATCCATAAGGATGAAAAGAACATCCGTGCAATGACTACTGTCTCTTTTAACATGGAAGCAAAGTGCATTGTAACAAGTCGTAATAAGTTCATAGTAAAAACGGAGTCTGCCCTAACTGTTTGGATCAGTGACAGCCACAACAAACCATTCTGTTGGATTTGCTGATCATCTGGGAGAAGGTGAGGCAGCTCTGTCAGTGCTTTACAGTGGACAAACCTCAAATAGGACTCTCTTCTGCAACATTCATGGATTTCATGGCAAGCAAGGGTTGGTTTGAGGAGTTCCAGAAGAGGTATCAACTCAAGAGTGTTGTTCTTCACAGAGACGCTGCCTCTGCTGACCAGCCTGCAGCAGAGGACTACGTGAACAACACATTCCAGAAGATCCTTGAGGAGGGCGAGTATCATCCAGAACAGGTGTTCAATATGGACAAAACAGGACTGTAAATACTAAGTTTATATCTATATTCCTAATTTGAATATGCGCCCTATGAGAGGAGAGACTATGATTCTTTTTTATCATCTAGCTTTAGTCCAATGACTAATGAATAATGGGTGCTTCCTAAATATTGGTTGAATGAATCTTAGCTTAGGGCTTCAGCAGAGAGAATTAAGATGAAATTGCTATTATTCATCAGTCATGTGCTTTGCATATTATCTCCTTCAATTTGTATAACCATCCTATTGTAGGTATTATTATTCTCATTTTATAGATGGAAGAATTGAAGCTTTGGAGTTTAAGCAATTCGCCATGGTATTACCACTAATAAGTGATAGAGCCAGAGTCTTAACCCTTATCTATAAGACTCCAAATCTCTTTCATTTTTAGTACACCTTGAGAGTAGGTAAGGCAGGGAAATTGGAAGAACACTGGACCAAGAATCTGGAAATTTGATTCTAGTGCCAGCTCTGACTTGGGTTAGCTATATGATGTTGCAGTGCTCACTTCTCCCCAACAGGTTTTATTTCCTCACAGAGAAAATAAGGGATCTTCAGCTATAATGTTACACTGTACTCTACTGCCATGAGTTTGGAATGTTTTGGCAATGGTAACCTTGGAATCTCTAAGTCTATAGCACTTAAATGCAGGAATATTTTTTAAGAAGTCTGGATTCTCATGTTTTTCAGGGGCTACTTCAGTCGGGGAGATGAAAGGTATTTCATTGAACCTTTAAGCCCTGAAAATCAGGATGAGCAGGAGCATGCACTCTTCAAACATGATCCCAATGAAAAGAGGATTAACAGCACTTGTGGGATGGATTACATGTTATGGGCACATGATTCTCAGAAGAATGTGACCCCACCTGCCACCAGTCTGGTCGTATGCATACCTTTATTTTTATTTGTAGTGCTCTCATGTCTTCTGTCCTGTCTGCCCTGGGTTTCAGTCTTAGCAACTGCAATTTACTGAGACTTTACAGTCATTGTTGAAACTAGTAGGTTATAAAGACATTAAAACCTTATTGTATATTGATTTATTTAATAAGTACTGTCATTAATAACAATGTGCAAGGGCTAGAAAGAAGTATAAATACAAGGCTTACTCTCTAGGAGAAGGCAACTTTCACAGTACTGCAACATAAAACAACTGTGTAAGGTATTATTATTACTTTGAGGTAAAATATCCTGCTGTCTTCATGAATGAACTCATTCAACACATCTTTATTTAAGTACTTCCATAGGTGCTGGGGATATAGCAGTGAGGAAAATAAATATAGGATTTGCCCACAGTGACTTATAATGTGCTTTTATATATGGAATTAAGTTTCCAGTCACAGAAGAATCATCTTTTATAAATGTTTGCAGAATCCATGAGCACTGGGATGAATTGGTCTGAATAAAATAAAATCTCTCTGGGGTTCAACTTGCTGGGTGTTTGATTACTACCAACCAGAAGAACCACTCTTATATGAATGTTGATCTCCTGGTTTAGTTGGTACAGACCTCTTGTCTCTCTGTCTTAATTCCTTGCTAACCATGTGTAAATAACCATGTTTCCATGACATCACTAGTGCTATGTCTTCTCAGCTCCTCTCACTGTTATCCCTCCTCTGGCTGACTACTTAATATTAGAGGCCCTCATAAAACTCTATCCCTTTCCTTGCTTTACCTACACATTCTTTCTAGGTAATCTTATCCTATGCTGTGCCTTACTTAAATAAGAGTTCTTCAGTAATTACTATCAAATATATACCTTCAGCCTTGGACCCACCTTTAAAGGCCAGACTGTTATAATTAACTGCTTACTTCATGCATCCATTTGAATGTCTAATATCACAAACTTAATATGGTCAAAATATAACTACCGATTTCCAAACCCCAAACAAAACCTGCTTCTTCCTCATTCTCCCCTGTATCAGTACCACCATTTATCATTTACTCGGGCCCAAATCTGGAAATCATCCTTGATTCCTATTTCATTTATCCCTCTTCATATGCCATCCATCAGCAGGTGCCGCTACATATTCCAGATCTTTCACTTTGTTTCCTCTTTCCAACTACCACATGGCACCACCCCGCTCACAATAACCACTGCGACAGATTTTCCCGCTCTCATTTCTGCCTCAGTAGAATCCACTCTTCTTACAACAGCTAGAATGATTATTTTATTCTGAATCACATCATGACATTTTTCTGTTTAAAATTCTCTAAAAGCTTCTTATTGCATTCAGTACAAAATCTAAAAGAAAAGTGACCAAGTTACAAACTCATGTATGACCAGGGCCCCAACTACCTCTCTAATCTCCACTATCTTGTACTCCCCATCCATGATGAGTCCCCTATTATGTTCTGACAAACACAAACTCTTTCTATGATTTAAACATGCCAATATCAATTCACTTTGGCATTTTTGTTGCTCATTTTTATTCTTCGCTGGAATTATCTTCCAATTTATCTTCTCTTACCTGACTTTTCATTTTCATTAATGTCAGCTTCAGTGCCAGCTCTTTAGAGCTTTTTCTAACCATCTATTCTGAAATGACCACTTTGTTATGCAATATCACATCACTGTGTAATCCTTCGCACGGCACTAATGCCCATCTGATACATCTATGTTTATTTGTCTGCTGTGAGCTCCTTCAGTACATGGACCATATCTATTTCACTGCTGTATCCCTAGTGCTCAGAGCATTGTTGGTGCACAGTGAGTGCTAATAAATATATTGCTCCCATGGAGGGTGGGAGGTAGGTACACATCTCATGACGGTAGAGCTTAAAGTCTACCTTAAGTAGTCTGTTCTTGTTAATGGAAGCTTATTTACCTGCCAAAAGGCAAGCACTTCTAGAAACGCAACATAATAAATTTTAATAGCTTATTATTTAGTACAAATAATGTCTACTACTTTTCAGTGGGAAAATCCACCATGCAACATGTTTTTGTTGTCTTATTGTACTTTATTTTGTTTTGTGGAGAGAAAGGAACAGAAACTAGGGAAGCTTAGAATGTGGAAAAGAGATTCAGCTCTTTCTGAAAAGAAAAGAAAAGAAAAGAAAGGAAAAGAAAGGAAAAGAAAAGAAAAGAAAAGAAAAGAAAAGAAAAGAAAAGAAAAGAAAAGAAAAGAAAGGAAAGGAAAGGAAAGGAAAGGAAAGGAAAGGAAAAGGAAAGGAAAGGAAAGACAAGACTAGGTGCCATGGTGGCTTTGGGCCCTGCACCATTGGTAAAGGAGAGGCTATAACTGGAACAGGAGTAAAAGAATACTAAACAACAACAAACAACAAAAATACTAGGAGAATGCTAAAGTCGAAGTCTGTTTATTTTATAGCAGGATAGTAGAGAAAGTTCACTGTTCAAAAAAATCTGAACACTTTGGCTTTAATTCCAGCACTCCCATTTATTAGTTGTGTAATCACTAAAACTGTGTGGTAAAATAAAGGAGTCAGGCTAGAATATCACTGACATCTCTTCTAGCTCTGACATTGTGAGCCTTGACTATAGATAATTCTGACTTATTAGTTAGAATTAATATGGTAATCTTGTCTTCCTTTATTCCCAGATAACAACCAATCTCTTATAAAATTACACATTACTAATAAAAGAATGACTCTTGCAGAGACAGGTCTTGTCAGTAATTTTTAAAAATATTTATTACAGAAATTAAATGACCAGAAGATTCGGGAACAAAAGAAGTACATAGAATATTATTTAGTTCTGGATAATGGTGAGGTAACTATATCAGATAAATGTGTGTTTTATAATCTCCTTCTGCCTAAACTTATTAGTTAAGATATTAACCATATGGATTGATTTTTTAAAATCATGACTATGAGTTACTCTTTCTTACAAGTTGTTCTGAACATGCAAAATTTGATATATAATTAGATGAATATAATTTCTTCTTTTGAGGAATGGGCACTTGATATAATATGCATAAAATAATTTTTTGCACTGTAATGCTCCTTTCTTATTGTGTTAAGAGCTCCAAACTCAGTTTCCAATTAAATTTATTTGTCATTTTGTCTTTTGTTAACTAGTTAAATCATTGGGAAATTATAATACATGCTCATAAAGGAGTGGTAAATATAAAGCATTAATGAATGAAATCTTCTGAAGAAAGCACTCTTTTGTAATATTCATTGTTTACCTTCTTCTATAAGAATGTACTTTCATATATTGAGTGTCCTAAACCTGAGATCCACATGTGTGATCTCAAAGAAAAAATTTTGTACTATGATAACATGAGTAAGTTAATTAGTTTAGGCCCTAACACTTTGACCTCTCTTATTATACTAAATTCATTTACTGTTCATATTTTTTTAATGGATAAGCTATTTCTGGTACTGATTTCTCACAGTTTAGGAAATCATGATATTTAACTGAAGTACCTTTAGAATAAGTTTTTAAAACTTTATACCAAGCTAATACTTTAGGGGACAAAACATCATCTCTACTCCTAAAGTGTTTTAATTTAGTAAGAGAAATAAGGAAGCACATGTTTCTAACTTCTAACTTTTATAACTGATCATGAATTATAACCACTGATAAGTAAAGTAAACTGATGTCTTTTCTACTTTCCCATCATGTTCATTTCTATCAATGCCCATTTTTTGTTTTGGTTGTCTTTTAGTTTAAAAAGTATAATCAAGATCCAGAGGAAGTAAGAAAGAGGGTGTTTGAGATGACCAATTATGTCAACATGGTATGATATATTTTATTCAATATAATTTTAACAACCTGCTAAGCAGTATCATTGGATGTTTCTATGGATACTCATAAAGCAGGGAAAGGAAGTCTTAAGACTAATAATGATGACTGCCTCTTGAAGAGTGACCACAACTTTTGCTACTTCATTAAATGTTAATATTTCATGACAGAGACATTTCTCACCTACTTGTGACATTATTCACAGTTCCATGAAGGTATAAAAGGTGTTTGCATGGTTTTTGTTTTCCCCAAGCCCAGTAAGAAAATTCTGACAAGAAAATCTCAGCAGAAAGCTAATCTCAAGCAGAAACAGAACAACAAGCAAAATAAGACAAGCTGTGGCACAGTAGCATCTTTTAACATATTATATCATTGAATCATCAAACAATGCTAAAATATTGCCAAGCCTAATTTATAGCTAAGAAGTTAGATTCTGAGAAGCAAAGTAACTTGTCTAAAATCACAAAGTTGGAAAATGATAAAGATAAAATTTAAACTTTGGTCAGAACTCAAGCCATTTTAATTACAAAATTGCTGATTATGTTTTTTAAACATGATTTTATCATCTAATTTTCAAAAAAAATTAAAAATGATTCCTATATTTCTTTTATTTAAATCTAAATATTTAGTTTCTTGTTAGTTGAACATGCAGTTAGCCTGCTTAGTTGAAATAGGTAGGTCACTTTGTGGTGTCCTGAAAATCATCTAAGGATAGAAAGAAAATGAAGGTATGTTCAATGACCAAGGTCATATCTTGTCTTCTCACCACAAAGATCATGGTGATTCCTCTTAAGGAAACCCAAGGACAGGCCACATTCATTGAGCATCTACTTTGTGCAAGGTACTTGTCCAGATTACAGAAATAAAGTGGGGAACAAAACTGACAAAAATCCTTTTCTTCAAAAAGTTTACATTTTTGTTCAAGGAGACAAATACAAATAGATTAAATAAAGAGTATGTAGGATGTTACTAATTGCTATAAAGAAAAATAAAGCAGGAAAGAGGGAGAGATATTGATGATATTGATTTATCTTGGGTGCTATGTTAAATAGGAAGGCCTCTCTAATAAGGTGACCTTTGAATAGAGACTTGAAGGAAAGAATGGTCCTTGACCTTTAAAGGAGGTATGCAAGGCAGAGCAAGAGACCTGAGGGTGGAACCTAGATTGCCATGTTTGAGGAACGGTGGGAAAGCAATTGTGGCTGGAATGTAGTAAACCAGGGCAAGGTTGAGAGATGACATCTGGCACGTGGCAGTGGCCCAAAACCTGAAGGACCTGGTGGGCCTGGGTAAGACTTTGTTATTCTTCATGAGGGAGGAGAATATTGGAGAGCCTGAGGTATGGCATATTCAGATGGGTATTCTTAAACAATTACCTTGGCCATTGTGTTAAAAATAAATGGAAGGGCCCTGGCCGGTTTGGCTCAGCAGTTAGAACATCGGCCTGTGGACCAGAGAGTCCCAGGTTCGGTTCCGGCTAAGGGCACGTACTTTGGTTGCAGTTTGTTCCTGCCCTGGTTGGGGTCATGTGGTTGGCGACTAATCAATGTGTCTCTCTCACATCTATGTTTCTCTCTCTCTCTCTCTCTCTTTCCCCCTCTCTCCCTCCTGCTCTATCTGAAGATAAATGCAAAAATGTCCTCGGGTGAGGATAAAAAAAACAAAACAAAACAAAACAAAAACTGAAAATTACATGGAAGGAAAGCAAGGACAGAAACAAGATGAGATGGGAATTGTGCCATATTCAGGCAAGAGATGATGATGGTTTCAGAAAAAGCAGTGATAATGAGTCTATTGAGAATAGCTGATCTTGAGGCAGAGCCAGCAGGCTTATGAGGTGTGTAGGAAATAAGAATTACAAAAAAAGAGAGGAGTCGCATGACATGAGGGCTTTGACTTAAAGGATGGGGAATGGGGGAAATAGTGCAGGTGATAACTCAGAAGAAAGATTAAGATTCCCATTTCAGACACATTAGCATTGAGATATCTTTTTGTATAAAGATTTCCAGGTAGAAATGCTGAAAATGTAAGATTGGAGTTCTTATATAAATCTATAAGATATAAATAAAAAAGTCTTTAGCACATATAGATGACATAAGGCACAGGTTAGAAAGCTGTAGCCTGGATTTGGTACTAAATCCAGCATGCTGCTTTCTTACAAAATAAAGTGTTAGTGAAGTACAGCCACCTCCATTGTTCATACACAGTCTATGGCTGCTTTCTTGATACAATGCAGAGGAGGTGGTGAGCAGTTGTAACCCAGACTACACAGCCTCAAAGCCTAAGACATTTTCTATCTGGACCTCTACAGAAAAAGTTTGCCAACCCTGGTGCAGGCTCACCAAATGAGTGAGTGTAGATAAGTAGAAAAATGATGCAAAGACAGATGGTTGAAGTAGTTCTCTGAGGAGAGGTGAGAGTGGAGGAAAACTGATAGAGACCAAGAAGGAGTAGACAGTGAGGTAGGAGGACAACCAGGAGAGAGTTGTTCTAGAAGCTACTAGAAACAAAAATCTATCAAATGTAAATATGATCAAAGATATTAGATGCTTCTGAGCACTGAGGACCATTGGATTTAACAAAGTAGAGTTATTGGTCACCTGGTTGATACAAGTTTTTGTGAAGTATAAAAGTAAATCATGGTTAGAGTGAGCCTGGAGAGAATGAGAGAAGTGAAATTAGCAATAGCAAATATGGAAAAATATTTCCAGAAGTTTTTGCTATAAAGGAGAGCAGAGAAATGGAGCATAAGTTAGAGGTGGAAGGGTCATAAAGAGAAATGATCTTTTCATCCCCCAACCCTCACTACAAGGGTTATCCTTTTTATGCTGCCAGTGGAAATAATTCCATAGAAGGCTAAGCATTGCTAATATAAGGAAGCTGGAAGAGTTTCTGGAATAATCTTAGATCTAGTGTATGAATAAAAAAGTTGTCTTTAGGCTCATTCATGCTTATGGTAAAAAGGGGAGGCATTGGTTTGTTTGAACAGGTGTAGGCTAGTAGATAAACAGACGGTAGGAGTTTGTGGAAGTTCTCTTCTGAGTGCTTCTTGTACTCCTTGAATTTGGAAGAAGGGCATCCATTTACAGTGAAGATTTTGAAGAAAGTGTCAGAATTTCTAAGAAAGAGGATAAGTATGAAAAAATGTGCAGAGAGTGAATGACTTTTGTAAATGCAGCTGGTTTTCTGGAGAGTGGAAAAAGACCCCTCGAAGTTAGCAGTCATGGCTTCAAAGTGAACGCAGCCAGCAGACAGAGCTTCCTTGGTGTGTCGGGGATGGTGGAGGACAGGCATAGTGGGAATTAGCTTTACTCAGGACTAGAGTTTTGTCAGGTAAGAAAAATAAAGCAAGAAAGGAATAAGGAAATTAGGGGAATAATAAAAGGGAGGATTTTAATTTTGTTAGATTTTTACTTCTCTTTTGGTGATAATTTCTAAATGCTTTTATTATATTCCAAACTACTTAAAAAAAATAAATTGTTTGGATTTCTCAACAGAATTTTGCTCCATGAGAAAGCCTCTCACTGTGACATTTTTTTCATCTTTATTGACATAATTGGCATATAATGTGTAAGTTTAAGGTGTTCAAAGCATTGCTTTGAAATACTTATATATTACAAAATGATTACCACCATAGGTTAGCTAACACCCCCATCACTTCACATAATTACCATTTCAGTTTTGTGGGGAGAACATGTAACATCTAATCTCTTACCAATTTTCAAGTATATTATATAATATATAACTATTAACTATAATCATCATGCTGTACATTCGATACCCAGAACATACTCATTGTAAAACACTATGGTTTATAAGACTATAAGTTTTTATCTTTAGAGTAAGCATATTGTCTCATAAGTTTAATTTATTTATCTAAAGTTTATTCTATGTGCATTATAGAGTATTTGGTTTAGTCTAGGTATAAGAATTAGAGGGCCTCTTACTTCCATTGGGACTTCCAGATGTTGGACTTTTTCACACTGCATGTTTTTTTCTAATATCCAAACCAGCACCAAGTCAACCTTGCTAAATTCTGAAATATTGTGATTTTGACAACGCTATACAGCATTTGGGTAAATATGCTTAAAATGAAGTAATAATAATAAACTACCAATAGAAAATTATATTTCTTGAGGTTACAAACAGGAAGAGTTTGGCTCAATAGGACCTTTGCTCAAAAAAAAAAAAAAAAGAATTTACAGACCTGAAATACTGAAATATCTAAGCGTGTTTGTTTTGCTTACGAATGGGAATGCTAGCATCTGCAAGAAAGAAATGGTAACTTCCATTTATAGGCATGTTTAGAAAGAAAGATTTTATAACGGTGTTGTAAATAGTTTGAAAATCTAATGTATATTTAGAATATTAAACAATGATATCACCATTATAAGTAGTAAATGCTTTGCCATTTATTCTTTGGACAGCTTTATAAAAAGCTCAATACTCATGTGGCATTAGTGGGGATAGAAATCTGGAATGACGAGGATAAGATAAAGATAACCCCAAATGCAAGCATCACCTTGGAAAACTTTTCTAAATGGAGGGGGAGTGTCCTCTTAAGAAGAAAACGTCATGATGTTGCTCAGTTAATCACGTATGTATAGATTTCCCCTTTTGGATGCTGTATGGTTTTTAGCATGAAACTTTTCAAAGCCTGAACAAAGCAAGTGATATCTCAGCATATAGAAAGTTAAAAGTTTAAAAAATATTCATTTGGACCTTATGTTGAATATTCTCTCTCTCTATAAAGAGAAGCTAATGATTTAGTAATAATTCATAAGAAGTGTATCTGTTTTGATTAGATGTACAGACAGAAAATACAGGTTTAGAGAATAGCAAGAAGGGTTTATATTTAGTATTTTAAAATAATTGATTAGCTTGAAGCACTAATCAGGACAAACTTCTAGGATAGAAGTGAAATTGTATTCTAATAACACACCTCTAATAATACGTATCTATATTCCTGCTGAAATGACTGACTAATTTAAAAAAAAAAAAAAAAGGAAATAAATCTAACAGTTGCAAATTATACAGAAGTGCTGAGCTTGATTTTTTTAAAAATCAAGAAAATTCTGCAGCTGTATCAGATAGAAGAAAGCAGCAAAAAAAAAAAAAAACGATTTGAAATTACTTGAGTTTTACTTCCTAAGGAAATGGTGGGTGTCATGGGAAAGATTGGACTAGATTGTGTCAGAATTAATATTCTCTGCTGGTTATCTATTATGGCATAACACATCAGCTCACACCCTCCTGACTTAAACTAAGTCTTCTTTACTTATATGGCTGGTGACTTGCCTGGTATGGCTGGAGCAGGGAGGCTGGTTGATCATTTCTCTGTGTATACAGTTTTTCATGTGGCTAACTTGGACTGCCTCCAACATGGCAGTCTCAGGGTTTTGAAAATCTTAGAAGGTGACTAGCTTTTCTCAGAAGAAGCATGCTAAGAGGCCCAGGAAAAAGCTTTAAGCATCATTTGTTATGGCTTGGTTGGAGAAATGACATTGCCACTGTTGGTTTATCCTGTTGGTTAAGAGCAAGTCATAGACCTATCCAGATTCACAGGCACTACAGGATGTGAATACTGCAAAACTGGCTCACTGGGGGTTATATTTGAAGTACAGTTGCCACAGTTCCTTCATTTAGAAAGGTGAGCTCTAGACTCAAGGGTCCACCAAAGGAAAAAGATCATCTTTGGAAAGTTTAGAATAATAAGTTGTCATATCAATTTTTTATTTTCTTGAAGGGCAACAGAACTTTCTGGAACGACTGTGGGTCTTGCTTTCATGTCTACAATGTGCTCTCCTTACCATTCTGTTGGCATTGTCCAGGTTTGTTGGAAGATAAACAATTGGTTCTATGTTTAAACTTCTCAATCTATTGAGAAGATTCTTCTCCTTCAGTGTGTTGACACTGTGGATTAACATTGATTGAATTTCAAATGTTGAGTCTATCTTGCATTATCTTGTTTATGGATGCCATTCCAGAGGAAAAAAACAACGACAATGAAGTTATGAAAATAACTGTTTAAAGGAAGATACCCTAAATTTGAAGGAATCTTAAAGTAATCTGCAAAGTCTCTAAACACATTTCTACTTTTCTTAATTTTTTTGGTTTGTTTTTGTCCCCATTTGGGGAGCTCTATCTTACTAGATAGCAAGGCTTGCCATATTTATTTCAACAGGATGATACAATATTGTAGATGGTAGCTATTAACTTCCCTGCTTGCCAATCTTGTACTGTGCCTTATGAATCTCTGTATTTGGTTTTTGAAAGGGAATCTGGTTTCTGTGGATGGGTGTTATTAGCAGATTTGTCTCCCCACTGGGAAATTACAACCAGCAATATTTTTTTAGTGTTGTTTTATTGCTCCTGGGTAATTTGGAGTCCTCAGTCCAACACCTCTTATGAGAAACAATCTGGTAACAAAGTTGGCCATTGGCTGGACTTCATGCAAATGGCCGATGACCAGAATAAACCAATGTCTGATCTTAGCAGTAATAGGGTGGAAAAACATACCAATGTACTAAAGTTCTAAGCTAACAAACACTTTTAAAGCTCCATTAGCCAAACATATCAAAGCCCTCCAATTTAATTGCAGTGGTTCTCAATTTTCTTAATGCTGCAACCCTTTAATACAGTTCCTCATGTTTAGTGACCCCCAACCATAAAATTATTTTCGTTGCTACTTCATAATTGCAATTATGCTACTGTTAGGTCTTAGGCAACCCCTATGAAAGGATGGTTCAACCCCCAAAGGGGTTGCAACCCACAGGCTGAGAACTGCTGAATTAGAAGATATTAAAAAGCTAGCTGAGGGGAAAGAGGTAGATGAGTTTTTAAATGTTGCTGATTCCTTATCGTTGTTGAAGAAATTTTGCCATTATCTCTCATGGCAGGAAACCACAAATATTTTTCTCATTAACATATTCCCTATTGATAAGAAAAAAAAGAGTCAGTAATATGCCATGTGATGGGTATTAAGTACTTAAGTTGTGTGGGGGGCAGGGGGCGGGGGTGGAGGGAGAAGAACATAGGACAGATGGTGGGCAGAGTTAGTAGGCCGAAGCTAAAATCAGTCTTTCTACTCCAACTGGCTACAGTAAAAATATTTAATTATGCCCTGCATGATAATATAATTCAGTTTGCAAACCAAAAGATCTGTTTTCCTGTTCTCACCCTTAGGATCACAGTGACAATGTGCTTAGAGTTGCAGGGACAATGGCCCATGAAATGGGCCATAACTTTGGAATGTTTCATGACTCCTATGTTTGCAAGTGCCCATCTACAGTATGTGTGATGGACAAAGCTCTAAGGTAAAGTTTTCTGGGAAGATCCTATTTTTCCCTGTTTTTGATTCTCTTTAGGCTATGTTACTCTTTTATGTCACTTTCCATAACATGGCCAAGCTTTTAAATGATTAAATAGCATAGTCATGAATGTATATCGGTACCAAACCACCTTATTCTCGTCCAATGTTAATATTTTTCCTTAACTGAGACATAGTATAAGCACATTGTTTCTTTGCTGTTGGAGAGACTCGTCATTTTATCCTTATCCAGATAAAATCATTAGCATTTATCAAATTTTCAGTAAGTTCAATTTGGTGATAACATGGAAAAAGTTCTAGGAGAAAAATCTAAAGAACAAAGTTCTCACGGGAGGATGAAGAGGGAGTCTATAAAAAGAGATTACACATTTCTGCCTTGTTTAGACAAATTTATCAGGGAATTTTATCTTTAAAAATTCAACAATTCCACCCTGGCCGGTTTGGCTCAGTGGTTAGAGCATCGGCCTGCGGTCTGGAGAGACCCGGGTTCGGTTCCTGCTGAGGGCATGTACCTCGGTTGCAGTTTGTCCCCGGCCCTGGTTGGTCGTGCGGGTGGCAGCCACTCGATGTGCCTCTTTCACGTCGATGTTTCTCTCTCTCTCTCTCTCTCTTCCTCTCTCTCCCTCCCACTCTATCTGTGCAAAAAATGGAAAAATGTCCTCGGGTGAGGATAAAAAAATAAATAAAATAATTAAAAATTCAACAATCCCTTTATACATCCATTTCCTCTTTATTATTTCCTTCTCAGCTTGCTCAATCTAGGGTTAGTCTCCCTTACACAAAATAGCTTATGGCTGTATGTCAGTTACGTATCTGATGTTATCTTTTCCAGATGTTAGAGCATTTTTAAACCTCCCCTTTATTTGTGAATAAAAAAGTTTTGTCAGTAGGAATTCTCTGAAGGAAAGAGAGTTCCTAGACATGTAAATAAGCATAATTTTACTAAAATGACCTAATTCTAAATAAGATTATCTAGATAAGTCAGAAGTATCTGTGTTTTTTTAAACAGCAGCCTGGATGCTATACTTTAAGATATGACCATGTTTGCTCATTTAACTGGAGGTGTTTATGTCCACCCAGGTGAGCTAATTTAGGCACATAAATCAGCTCATGATTTAGCACTTTATCAGTAGATTTGGTTTGATCTTTTGGGGAAGGTTTTAGGTGTATCATCCCCTATGTCTGATGTTGTCCCCTACATGCTCAGGATGACTGCATTCTCTTTTCTCTTTCCTTGTCTTCACAGCTTCTATATACCTACAGACTTCAGTTCCTGTAGCCGTGTAAGCTACTACAAGTTCTTTGAAGATAAATTATCAAATTGCCTCTTTAATGCTCCATTGCCTACAAATATCATATCCTCCCCAGTCTGTGGGAACCAGGTGATAGAAATGGGAGAGGACTGTGATTGTGGGACTTCCAAGGTATGACCAAGTCCTTTATAAAAAAGTTTAGTTTTTCAGTTGCCAAGAAGAAAAACTATAAAACTACAGTGTTCATACACTTAAACTTTATATAATTTTATCAACCAATGTCACTCCAATTAATTTAATTAAAAAATAAAATAAAGCAATTTGAGCCATATTTTAAGAAACCATATCGTGTGGTTCACTATAAGAGTTCCCCTTTCTTGTAACTTTTGTATATATTTATTTGTAAATAGTTGTCAGGCCAGCTGTTCTAACAACGAACACTGCGCTGCTAAGCAGACCTTCTCGGGGTTTCTTCCCCGTAACTAGTTTTTTAAGTACTCACCACCCTGGCCTTTGTGTCCTCATTCCTCCCTTTCTGTCAGAAGTAATTCACATTTTTTATATGCCTATGACTTCTTGAGCAGTTACTTTAGACAGAGCACTGTGACAGTGCTGTGAGAGTAGAAAGAGCTTTCCCAAGGTCACCACGCTGGTAAATGAAGGAGCTGAGATGTGGATTCAGGTGGGCTGTTTCAGCAATCCAACAATCACCCTGCATAGTTTAGAGCTTTATGACTCAGGACCTGTTACCATTAGAGGTGCTTAGCCTGATCCCACCTTGTTGATAGGGCAACCAGGATGCTGAGTGGGACCCTTGCCCTTATCTAATTAACACTTAATATAAGTATCGTGTCAAGCCCTCAGGGGTTCAGCTTCTCGGTAACTTCAAAATAGGATCACACATTTATTCATCCAGTAAGAAAGAGTAAACTTTATCAGATTATATTTAAAATACGGGCAAGAATTTTAACCCTAAATGTTGTAATTCTGAATATATCATTTCTCTTGGGGAATCTAAATAACTAACAACCAGAAAGGGGCCTAATTTCTCAAAAACAAGGGAAGAAGAACAAAAAAAAAGTATATTGCTTTATACAGAGTTGAATTAAATGTTGAAATTGAATAAAGAACTATATTTTTAGATGTTCAATTACATGTTCTAAAGATTACATTTACTGATGAATAGGAACAAAACTGATCAGTTGAACTAATTATGTTCTTTATTTAGATAAATTTCACTTTTTTAAGCTGTCTTTTTTCTTCTTGTTTGCTCTCATATTTTCAGTATTATTATGGGAAATGGGTGAATAAAAAAAGATATTCAAATTTTTAAAAATGCAAGTAGAATTCAGATAAATAACAAGCTATTGGTTACTCTAAAATCTCAGCTTTTCTAATGTTAAGCTTTGTTGTTTTTAATATTTTTCTAAAAATTCTTTTCAGACTATATCAAAGTAAGGTCTGTGTGATGAACAGATTATATTATGAATTGTGCTGAAATGAGACCAAGAAGTAATTTGGCATTTGCAATTTTTCTGGTATTTCTTAGGAATGCACCAATATTTGCTGTGATGCTGAAACATGTAAAATCAAGGCAGGTTTTCAATGTGCATTAGGAAAATGCTGTGAAAAGTGCCAGGTAAAATTATTTATTTTGTCAATAATTATTGCTACACTTTATTTTTTCTGTTAAAATCTCAGGGGTTGTGTTAAATGAAATAGGCAAAGCAACATTTTTCTGTTTCTAAAATAATGCTACTTACCATTTATCAAGTCCTCACTGGGTGCTTGACAAACATGGGCTATTTGATCCTCCAACACCTCTTTGAAGTAGATAATATTATCTCATTTTGCTTTAGAGGAAGAAGAGGCTCAGAACAGAAAATGTGCAAAATAATAGGTAGAGTCACTAAATGGCAAACTCTAAGTTTACCGGTGATTCCAATGCCAGTACTCCTATCTCCTGCTTCTTGAGATGCTATATGGCTTTCTTGGACCAATCATAATTAATTATAACTTTCTTTAATAATGAGTTTTGTGGGAAACTTTTATTTTGAATAATGTCAGGGCTCCTGTATATTCAACCCTTGAAGTCACTTCGGGGTGAAATTCATAGAAAAAAGACAAAAAATGATGCTGTGTCATTTTCTCTGTGGGGCTTTTTTACTTTTCCTTCAAGGGAAAATTTAGCATTTTACATTTCATGGTTGCATAGAATTCTATTTAGTGATTATTTATGTGTCTGTCTCCTTTGTTAGGATGACTCCTAAGGGTAAGGGGCTCACATCCTCACATAGCACAGGATTTCATACATTTTAAATGCTCAATAACTATTTGTAGAAGGACTGTGCAGATTGTATACCAGGTTATGGGTAGATTTTTTTTTTTTTTTTTATGTCAAAGGGGAGAAAAGAAAGGAGGCCAAAAGGAAGAAAATTTGAGAAGTTAAGTAATATTCAACAAGTGTTTAGTACATTCTATTTGTTAACTATTATGGGAGATCTTTAAAAAAAAAGTCTTTGCCCACAAAGAACTTGCTATTTCCTTAGGGCAATAATATACACACCTAAAACAGATGAAAATGTAATGCAGATTGAACGCCCAGGTAAATATTACAATGATATATCCCCTTTGTATAAAACTTTCCACTTATGTTTTCACAATGAACTTGTAAATTAAAGGTAGTTGGAAAAATAGATTTTCAGAGAGATTCAATTCATTTTCTAAGGTTATGGACTTAACCACCAGCAGAGCCAAGATTAAACTTGCATCTCCCAAGTCTGGGTTCAGACCGCTTTCCTTACCGCACGTAGCAAACTTGACCTGGGTTGGTGAACACACAATACACTGTACAGATGATGTGTGTGGAACTGTGCACCTGAAACTTGTATACTTTTGTTAACCGGTGTCACTCCAATAAATAAATAAGAAAAAATGAGCAACTATGTGCATGGAAGAAGTCAAAGGAGCCTTCATGGAAAGAGAGGCTTTCAAACTAGTCTGAGAAATAATGAGTAGATTTTAGAGAAGTAAACCAAAAGAGAAAAATTTTCCAAATAAAGAGGCTGAGAGAAAAACAAAGACAGAACAGAAGGTATAAGCATAGTTTGCAAAGCTAGACTGGCTGGAACAATGGGGTTGAATTTGGAGGGTCTCATATGCTCCAATTTAAATTTGGATTTTATTCTGTCACCAACATAAAGATATTGAGGGTGTTTTGATCATATGAGAGCCTGCCTGCTCATGTCAGCTAGGGAAATGCATGCTTCCAAAGTCTGCACAGGCCTCTTTATTTTTGAATAAAAGGCAAAAGGTTTTACTAAGGTTTCCCTAAGGGAATAGGAGCAAGATTTGCAGTAGTAGTTTGCAAAGGAATTAATATATCAGATGAATATTTGGGTATTTCTTCCTCTTTATAAATTATTCCATAAGAAAAAGAGTGAGTTGAAAAGAAATACCTAACCATACAATAAGAGGAATTAAGAATTAGGAAACAGAAGCCTGGGGAAGTCTCAGAGCCTGCTGACCTGGAAGACCCACTTTGCCAGCAAACCTCTGAAGTTACAGACTGACGTCTCCTTGAAAGTCTCCACAAAGATACATTCAACAAAGCAAGAAATAACTTCCTTCTTTGCAGTTAGGATATTGTTCAGTTTTCTTCTGTATTTTTCTCATTGATATTTCTATAATGTTTCCACTTCATATCCAGAAATATTGATGCCTTAAAGAATTTGGGCTTTGGCCAAAGTCAATAGAAATGACATTAACAGGAAATGGCATTTGCTTATACAATGTAAATGTAAACTGGAATACAATTATGTCTCTAACTACCTTGGCAATAAAGGGCCAAAGGGAAAATATTATTTGTGTTAATTTGAAATATTTGGTAAGTCAGGTGGAAAAACACCTTCTCTCCATCTTTACCCCTGCAGTTTAAAAAGGCCGGTACAGTGTGCAGACCAGCCAAAGATGAGTGTGACCTGCTGGAAATGTGTGATGGTAAATCTGGTATTTGCCCTGATGATCGATTCCAAGCCAATGGCATCCCTTGCCAAAATGGGAAGGGCTACTGCTTGATGGGGATGTGTCCCACACTGCAGGAACAGTGCGCTGAGCTCTGGGGAGCAGGTAGGGGGACAAACTCCGGTGTCACTGACATTCCTGCCTCTCTCTAGGCACATGCAAGAAACAAAACATGTTATTGCAGGTGATAGTGGTTAGTCGTGGCCAAAGTAGCATTCTGTCCCAGTCTTTTTTCTTAGCAACTATGCCACTGCATTTTAGGACCTAAGGTCAATTCAGCATTTGCTACATTTAGCAAATAAAAATAAGAATGGACCAATGAAATTTAAATTTGATTGACAATCTTTTTAGTATCCTTATGTTTCACATAATAGTTGAGGCAAACTCATACTAAAAAAAAATTCTATGTGTATCTGAGATTCAAATTTAACTGGGTTCAGTATTTTATCTTATTACCGTAACCAAGATCTTTTTCAGACAAGCAAATCCTTGGAAGTATGGTGTGTGTGTGTGTGTGTGTGTGTGTGTGTGTGTGTGTATGTAGAGGTGCTTAGAGGTGGAAAGAGGGAGAAAACAAAAGGAAGATGCTGGGAATGCAGAGGAGAAATGAGGAAAAGTGAATGCTCTGTAATGTTTAGTTTGTACATAATACCAGAATTTTAGAGGCTATATTCTCTATACCATAAAAAGAAACTTAATAAGAAAAGCATAATTCAAAAATGTGTGAAAAATTTAAACAAAAATTTTAATTATTCTAACAAACTTGATTAGAAAGGCAATTTTAAAATATCAATTCTTTGGACTCCAGGATATGATATATTATGTGTGTGTGTGTGTGTGTGTGTGTGTGTGTGTGTAATTTTCACAGCCTTTTCTGCTACACTTCCAGATTCCTACTCATTTAAGTAGAAATTTGTTTTGAAAAGGTGGAATACATATTCCTAAAATTATTTGACAAGAGTTATCATATGCCAGAAATATTTTATAATTCTTAAAAATATACCTGTGACAAGATTAAAGAAAACAGCAGTAATTATTGATTCACAATACACCCAAAACAGAAGAAACCTGGGAAATAAATGAACAAGGACATAGAAAAATTCTTCAATAAAACCCTGGGTGTCAAGGGTGGGATGAGACATAATTTGAGGAGCAAAGCTTGATAACAAGTTAAACTTCTTCCCTTCTTCAGTTGGCAAAGCTGGGTTACAGCTCATGCTTAATGTTGGTGAGGATGTGACAAAACATCCAGGTTCACACATTGTGGCAAGAATACGAATTAGCATAATCTTTTCAGCAAGAATTTGGAAAAATGCACATACATCCTAGAAAAAGTACTCTGTTTTCTAAAAATTGTACCCAAGAATGTTTATTTACAGGTATTTCACCCAGCACTTTAAAAAAATAACAGTGAATATCTGGGAAACATCTCAAAGTCCAAGAATAAGAATTAGTCACATAAATCACAGTGAATCTATCCAGTGATTTTATTTCTTTTTACAACTATAATATTATAGAATATTTAATGCCTGGGAAAGGACAAGTAGATTGTTAATTGGGAAAAAGTAATGTATGAAGAAATGTGATACAAGGTCTATGGATGGTACTTTCCACAATATTAGTAGTAGTTAACTGAATTTTGGGATTAAGAATATGCTTTTTCAGCAAAAATGGACCTAGAGGGTATTATACTAAGTGAAATAAGCCAGTCAGAGAAAGGTAAATACCATATGATTTCACTTGTATGTGGGATTTAATGAATGAAATAAGCAAACAAAATAGAAACAGACTCATAGATACAGAGAACGGTGGGACAGCTGTTAGAGGGGAATGGGGTTGGGGGACTGAGTGAAAAAATTGAAGCAATTAAGTAGTACAGATCAGCTGTGGCAGAATAGCCAGAGATGCAGACTGCAGCATGGGGAATATAGTCAATAAGGTCTAGATAACTGGGTATGGGGTAGGTGGGTGCTGGGGACAGTAGGGGGACTACTCTGTACAGGGCCTGGTTTTCCGGCCACTGTGCTATACATCTGAAACTGGTGTGAAATTTTACTTTATGTAAACTGTGGTTTAAAAAATATATGAATGCTTTTTCCAAATTATTAATGCAAAATTATTCAATTTTTAGTACAGATATTTTATTATAATGAGGAACTAATAAATGCTACTAAGATACAAATAATCAAGAAACTCTGATAATACTCATTTTATCATCTTGAACATTGAACCATAAATTCATTTAATGTGGTTTCAGTTTACAAATCATTATAATAGGTAAATAATTTTTCATGAAACCAGGTTAATATCTTTATAGATTTTAATTATTTTAACCTAGTTTGTTGTTTTTTTTTGAAAGACTAATTCAAATTTTCTTCATGTTATTTCTTGATATTTAAGAAGACACCTCATACAGAATAGGAACATACATCTTAGACTCAGAACTAAGTGTGAAGTCTGGTTTTTCATCTCTCTCTGTGATTTAATCATTATGATTCTTCATTTCCTTATTGATAAAATGGAATGGTGATGATGGTTAATATTTCTCAACCAAGGACTACTGACTAGCCACACTTCTCACTGGTTCACATATACTAACTCAATCCTCACAATAACTCTATGAGGTTGGTACTAGTATATATCCTCATTTTATAGCTGAACAAACTGAGGTTGAGACATTTGCCCAAGGTCCCACAGCTGCTCTCTCTTAACACCTGAGCTGTTAACACCATATTCTGTTGCTTATCTGACAGGGACCCAAAGAAGATTACATGAGACGTTAAATACGTGGTGCTTACTGCTAGAGCAGCAGGATAGCAGTCCTACCTGCTTGTTGGCTGTTAACATAATGACTGCAGCTCTCCTGACTAACTTTCCATATTTATATAGATATTTTCAATTTTCAGCCAATAATCCAGATGTTTTCAAATACTTAGATAGCCATTATTCAGAAAAAAAGAACATTTAAAAGATTGCTTTTTAACTCTAGTCAGCATTCTTGATATCAAATTATTGTAGGCTATAGTTCTGAGAATGATCAATGGCTTTACATCATGTGCTGCATAACGATGTTTTGGTCAATGATGAACCACATATACTATGGTGGCTCCATAGGATTGTAATGGAGCTGAACATTTTCTATTCCATATTAATGCCATAACCTTCACAATGTCACAGCACAGCACATTCTTCACATGTCTGTGTTGACGCTGGTGTAAACAAACCTACTGCGCTGCCTGTTGTATAAAAGTATAGCACATACAATCATGCATAGGACAATACTTGATAATGAAAATAAACAATTATGTTACTGGTTTATATATTTACCGTAGTATACTTCTATCATTATTTTAGTGTTCTCTTTCTACTCAAAAAATGAATAAATAAAGAAAGCCTGCTGTAAAACAGTGTGTTGAGTTACACCAGCAGCAGCCTCATAGATCTTGTATTTACCCTCTGTTTATTGCATCATCTTCTCTTGTTATTGATTTAATTTCGTGTTGATCATCATGGCCCCTAAGTGTACAAAATTCGCTGCTAATGTTGTCAGTTAGAGGCCATGATGAGTGATAAACCTGGAGATAAAATGTTAAATGATTGAGGATTACAAGGTGGAAAACCAGTGGTGGTTATTGCTCACCAGTCAGACATGTCGCATTCCACCACAGCTTTGATCCTGAACAACAAGAACAAAATGACAGGGCTATTAAAGGATCAGCTTCATTCATGGCAATGGACTATCAAAAATTTAAGAACCATATGATTTCACTGCTGTGTGGATTATAAAGCTGAAAACAACAAACACACAAGACAAACAAGAACTCATAGACACAGACAACAGCATGGTGGTTACCAGAAGGAAAGGGGGGAGGTAATAAAGGGTAAAGGGGTTCAAATATAAGGTGATGTAAGGAGTTTCATTTCCAGGGGTAAACACACAGTGCACACAGGTGATGTATTATAGAATTGCACACTTGAAACCTATATAATTTTATTAACCAATGTCACTCCAATAAATTTAATAAAAGAAAAAAGAAAAAAATTGAAAATAGGCTTATTTCAAATATGGATAAAGTTCTAATGACCTGGATTGAAGACCAGACACAGAAGCACATCCCCTCAGCATCATGACAATCATAGCCAAAGCAAAACGTTCGTTTGTGATGTTGAAAGAAAAGGCTGCTTTCAACTATGATGTTGAATTTACTGCTAGCTCTGGTGCTTTAAACGTTTCAAGAAACCGTATTCATTACATAATGTGAAAATGAGTGGTGAGTATGCAAGTTACTGAGACAAAGGCAGCTAAAGAATCTTTGGAACCTATAGATAAGCTGATTTTGCAGAAAACTACTTGCCAGAGCAAATATTCAGTTTGGATGAAATCTCCCTATTCTGGCAACAGATGACTGAAAGAACCTTTATCCACAAGGAGGACAGTCAATACCCGTTTTCAAGGCTTTTAAGGACAGGATAACAGTCTTGCTTGGGGGCAATGTTGCAGACTATAAATGGAAACCCTTTTTGATCTGGCACAGTGAGAACCCCAGGGCCTGTGAGCTTATCAATAAGCACTTGCTGCCAGTGTACTATAGGGGCAACAGGAAGTCATGGATGACCCAGTTCCTCTTCTAAGATGCTCTGCTGAATTTCTATGCCCGTGATATGGAGAAGTACTCTTTGGAGAATAATTCAACTTTCAAGATTTTGCTTATGGTTGATTAACGCTTCTGGACATCTTCTTTCATCCCAATATCAAAGTAGTGTTTCTCCCTCTGAACACCTCTTTGAGTCAACCAATGGATCAAGGAATTACAGCAGCTTTTAAGGCTTACTATCTGAGGAGGACCTTTGCCCAGGTTTTGCTGCAACTGAAGAAGACTGATTTAATTCTGGAAGGATTGCAACATATTGACTGCTTGGGCTTGAGTGGTGTCACCAGGCAGTGTACAAATGGTATCTGGAAAGAAGACACTCGGGAGGCTTATCCATGACTTCAAAGGATTTGTCAAGAAGGAAATGGTTGCAAAAATCAACAAAGCTCTAGTTGGGATGGCAAACAACTTTAACCTGGTGCATGCTGGGGCCCCTGAGGAACTAAGTAAAGTTGTTGGAACTGAACAGGAATGCATAGCTGAAGAAGATGCATGACAAAAAGAAATAACAGGAGCAGGAAAAAAAAAAAAAATCCCAAGAAAATTCACAGTGAAGAGCTTAAGAGATGCTTTTGCAGATCTCAATAAACTCCTTAAACAATTTGAAAACATGAATCCCAACATCAAAAGGTTTTCATTAATAAAGAGAAATGTTCATGGTGCTTGATCTGCTTACAGGCAAATCTATGATGAAAAAAATAATTCAAACAAACCACCATGGACATATTTCTGAAAAGAGTGACATCTCCTCAAGGAGACAGTCAGGCAGGCCTTTCTGGAAGTATTCCAGAAGAATCCATGAATCCATTGTCATAAAAGGAGAGGAGAGGTTCATGAGTGCTGCTGCCCCTGAAGACCTTTACATGGGACAAGATGTACTGGTGCGAGACAGTGACATTGATGATCTTGACCCTGAGTAGGCCTCAGCTAATGTGTGTGCTTGTGTCTCAATTTTTAACAAAGAAAGTTTAAAAATTAAAAAAACAGTTTTTTTTAATTAAAAAAACTTTTTAAAAAATTTTTTTTAAAAGTTGTATAAAGTAAAAAAGTTACTGTAAGCTAAGGTTAGTTTATCACTAAAGAAGGAAAATTATTTTTTAATAAATTTAGTATCGCCTAAGGGCACAGTGTTTATAAAGTCTACAGTAGTGCACAGCGGTGTCCTGACCTTCACATCCCTCACCCTCACTCACTGACTCCACCAGAGCCTCCAGTCCTGCACTCCTTTCATGTAAGTGCCCTATACAGTGTACCATTTCTTTTCTTTCATAAACCATAATTGTACTGCACTTTTTTTGTTTTTAGATATATGAATACTTACCATTGTGTTAGAGTTGTCTACAGTATTCAGTACAGTAACATGTACAGGTATGTAGCTTAGGAGCAGTAGGCTATACAATATGGCCTAGGTGTGCAGGCCATACTATCTAGGCTATACAATCTAGTTTGTGTAAGTAAACTCAATGATATTCACACAACAATAAAATTACCTAGTGATGCATTTTTCATAATTCATCCCTGTCATTAAAGAATGCATAACTGTATGCTAAAATAGCATTTTTCACGTTTTTATTTATTTTTTATTTTTCAATTACAGTTTACATTCAACACTATTTTGTACTATTTTCAGGTATACAGCCCAGTAGTTAGACAATCATATAATTTACAGTGATACCTCTGATATTTCAAGTACCCATCTGTAATAACTATATATAATTATTACAATATTATTAACTATATTCCCTATGCTGTTGGTTTTATATTTCATTAACCTTTTGTAACATTGAACTTCTGTTCTGTTTTCTTTTTGTATATGTTCCTACTGATCCTGTCTGGTCTCAGGAACTAAGGTTGCAGATAAGTCATGCTACAGGACAAATGAAGGTGTGTCCAAGTATGCGTACTGCCGCAAAGTCAACAACACACGCTTTCCCTGTAAAGCAAAGTAAGTGGCCTTCAAATAATAGTTGGAATTTTCCTGCTCCACCAACTAGGGAAATGTCTCACTTCCAGCCACACATTCTAATTTATTCCATTTAAAGAGAAAGTCAATTTGGACATCATTCACTTGACAGGTAGTCATTGACTGACTATTAGGTGCCATGTTTCTACTAGGCACTGAGTTAACTAGAGAAATAAGAATTGATCCCTTTTTCCAAGTCCTTCCTGGTGGATGTTTTAGATGACATCAAATACAATCACTGTTAAATAGAATAAATGTTGAGATTGAACAAGCAAGGTACATGGTCTTGGTTGGAAATATGTTCACTGAATTTCCAGAATATTTTAGGTGCTTTCTTTTCTGATGTCTTTTATTATGATCCTAGGAGCACAAGTATTTATCTATTCAGAGAAATAACCAATACAATGCTTGTACAATGTTATGTACAGTTGTCCCTCGCCACTTCGCGCTTCCACTCCATCGCGGTTTTTTTGGTATAGTGTCGACAGAGTGAAGCCGCGAAAGTCGAAGCGCGAAGTGGCGAGGGATGACGGTGTATAAATAAAGAATCCTACTTCGCAGAAATTCATTTATCGCGGTAGAGTCTGGAACTGATTAACCGCCATAAATGAGGGCCGACTGTAAACTTCCCATGGAATTACATGAAGAAAAAAAGCAGTAAGAGAAAAGTTGACAATTCACATAAGGAATGTTTTTATATTGATTTTCTAGAGAAATTATAGAATTATATACAATAAATGAGATTTTTCTATAAGATTTTTTGATTGTGCAATTTTAAGATGACATTAAAAATCCAAATTATAATAAATTATACTCCGTTTATACAAATTTTACAATAAGTAATGTGCAACAAGAGGTTAAACAAGATCAACATTTCTCAAAGTTTTTCTATTAAACACTAATTTTTCTAGGTGATAGATATTACCAAGCAAACTATATGTACACACATATACAATGTTTCTAAGCAAAATACATTTTGGGCATAAGGTCATCTGTTAGGGAGGTTGGGCCTAATGATGGACAATTATATTCTGTGCTTTCTCCTTTATAGGATATCAGGGTAGATTCAAAGAGGAAAAATATGTAAAAGGAAATATTTTGGGGGGGGGCAATATGTAGTCTGAGAGGTAGTGAGTGGGGAAAGAGAGTAGGATAGTTTTATTTTTCCTCTACAGCACTCTATTTTCTTATATTACCATCTGTATGAGCACTGGATAATTTCTGCAGCTAGAGGCACAGATATTTCATTCTCCCTACAGGCTGCCTTTCAAGTCACTTCTTAATAGAAACTGGTAGTAGTGGAGAGTAAGCCTGGAATTCCCTGTTCCCAAGAATTTTCCTTATAAGACTTCACCTAAATGATTCAAGGAAAATATCCTCTCAAGTTCTCTACCTCTCAATCATATTTCCTAACGACCACTAAAGACATCAGAAGAATGTGATTCTATCTACTCTCAGAATACTTTTTCACAGACTTCCTATAAATTCTACATAAACAATTAACTGCAACTTTATTCGTATTTTTACTCTCTTTGGTTGTAAATGAGTGATTTTATTGAGTGCTGAGCAGTTTCATCTGTGTTTGCAAGGACATATTTCTTTCAGTACTCCTACATGATGCCTTGGAGGATCAACTAAGATTCAGCTGTATATTGACACAACCATAGTAGAAATTATTCAGCTGCAATCCATGAAAATAAATAAGAAAAATTAACTGAAACAAGATAGAAACTGATTTCCTACTGCTCTCCATTATGGTAGCAATCTATTCTCCTTGAATAAAAAACAAAAAAACCCTGGCTAGTTTGGCTCAGTGGTTAGAGTGTCAGCCCATGGACCAAAGGGTGGCAGGTTCGATTCTGGTCAAGGTCACATACCTCAGTTGTGGTTCCATCCCCAGCCCTGGTTGGGGACATGTGGGAGGCAACCAATCAGTGTGTCTCTCTCGCATCAATGTTTCTCTATGTCTCTCTTTCTCTCTTCCTCATTCTCACTCTATCTGAAAATCAATGGAAAAGTGTCCTCGGGTGAGGATTAAAAAAAAATAATAATAAATCCATTCTTGTATTTTCTAGCTCTATCATATATATGATCTCAATTTCCAAATGTTTATCTTGGTCTGTGTTGGCTTCTCCAGCTCCTTTCCAACAAGCAGAAAGGAAAAAACAAAATAAAAACCTAAGGCCACCTTCAAGAATTTGTACTTAAGACTCTGCTTCCTTCCCATTGGCCAAAATTAGCTGCATGGAAATCTAGAAAATGTGTTTTTGTTGTTGTTACGGCAACAATGTGCATTTCCATATTCAATTATTTTATTACTGAAGACTAAGGGGGAAATTGATATAAAGGAGAACCAGGAGTCTCTGCTATAGGGAGAAATACCATTGGCTCAATATTGATAGTCAGGGAGCTATCAACATCTGTATAAAACTGCAATTTGCATCCTGGTAATCTAACTGCAGAAAAATTTGACTTTTCCTTAGTGATGCCATGTGTGGGAAGTTGTTCTGTCAAGGTGGGTCAAATAATTTGCCTTGGAAAGGACGTGTAATAACTTTCCTGACATGTAAAACATTTGATCCAGAAGATGACATTCAAGAAATAGGTATGGTAGCCGATGGAACTAAGTGTGGAAATGAGAAGGTAGGTCGTGGTTTTTATTCAAATATATATATATATATATTTATATCCTCACCCAGGACATTTTTGCATTTATCTTCAGATATAGCAGGAGGGAAAGAGGAAGGAAGAAAGAGAGAGAAACATCAATGTGAGAGATACACATTGAGTGGTTGCCACCCACATGACCCCAACAGGGGCCGGAGACAAACTGCAACCAAGGTACATGTGTGCCCTTAGCAGGAACCAAACCCGGGACTCTCAGGTCTGCAGGCCCACATTCTAACCGCTGAGCCAAACTGGCCAGGAGTGTTCAACTGATTTTTTGTAGTTTTCCTTTCTTGTTTTGTTTTTCAAGGCCTCCTGGTGTTTTATAGGAGCAGTTTTCAGAGCAATGCTTATGTCATTCATTTATACCTGCCTGCATTGATTCTTTCAGTGTTATTTAATAAATACCTATTATGTGTTTAGCACTAGATTGCTAAACCTAGATAAGTTTGTTTGTTTGTTTGTTTTTTAATTTTATTTTTGTTACAGATGTTTCTCCTTTCTTACCCCATTGACACCTTCTTCCCCACCACTCCACCCCGTCCCCGGCTTTGTTGTCTGTGTCCATTGGTTATGCGTACATGAATATAAGTTCTGTGGTTTATCTCTTCCCTCCCCCCACTACCCTCTTTTCTGAGGGTGGTCAGTCTGTACCCTACTTCCACATCTCTGGGAGTACTCTATTCCTCAGACTGTTATATTCATTATATTCCACAAATGAGTGAGATCATGGGGTATTTTTCTTTTTCTGCTTGTCTTGTTTTGCTTAGGATAATACTTTCCAGGTCCCTCTATGTTATCTCAAAGGATAAAAGATCTTTCTTTCTTACAGCTGCATAGTACTCCATTGTGTATATGTACCAGAGCTTTTATATCTATTCGTCTACTGATGGGCACTTGGGCTGTTTCCAGATCTTAGCTATTGTAAATAGTGCTGCTATGAACATGGGGGTACATATATTCTTTCTGATTGGTGTTTCGGGCTTCTTAGGGTATATTCCTAGAAGTGGAATCACTCGGTCAAATGGCAATTCAATTTTTAATTTTCTGAGGTAACACCATAGTGTTTTCCACAGTGGCTGCACCATTCTACATTACCATCAGCAGTTACTCGAGTCTTCTTTTCTCCACACCCTCGCCAACACTTGTTATTTGAGGATTTGTTGATGGCGGCCATTCTGACAGGTGTGAGGTGATACCCCATTGTTGTTTTAATTTGCATCTCTCTGATGATTAGTGATGTTGAGCATTTCTTCATATGTCTCTTGGCCATTTGTATGTCCTGTTTGGAGAGGTGTCTATTCAGCTCCTCTGCCCATTTTTTAATTGGGTTCTTTGTCTTCCTTTTGTTGAGTTGTATGAGTACTCTATATATTTTAGAAATTAACCCCTTATCTGATGTATCATTGGCAATGATGCTCTCCCAGACAGTGGGTTGCATTTCCATTTTGATGGTTGTTTTTTTTGCTGTGCAGAAGCTTTTGTGCTTGATGTAGTTCCATGTGTTCATTTTCTCCTTTGTTTCTGTTGCCTTAGGTGATGTATCAGTGAAAATTCTGCTGCATATGATGTCTGAAATTTTCTTGCCTACAGTTTCTTCTAGGATTTTTATGGATTCACAGGTCACATTTAAGACTTTTATCCATTTTGAGTTTATTTTTGTGTATGGTATAAGTTGATGGTCAGTTTCATTTTTTTTGCATGTAGTTGTCCAATTTTCCCAACACGATTTCTTAAAGAGTCTGTCTTTACTTCATTGTATGCTCTTGCCTCCTTTGTCAAATATTAATTGAACATAATGTCTTGGGTCCATTTCTGGGTTCTCTGTTCTGTTCCACTGGTCTATATGCCTGTTCTTGTGCCAGTACCAGGCTGTTTTAATTATAGTAGCTTTGTAGTATAACCTAATATCTGGTATTGTGATCCCACCTACTTTGTCCTTCTTTTTCAAGATTGCTGTGGCTATTCGGGGTCTTTTTTGGTTCCATATGAACTTTTGAAGTATTCATTTTAGTTCTGTGAAATATGTCATTGGTATTTTTTTTTATCCTTACCTGACGACCTTTTTTCCACTTTTTGTTCAGAAAGAGTAGGAACAGAAAAGAAGAAGGGAAAGAGAGAAAGAGAAACATCGATGTGAAAGGGACACATCGAGTGGCTGCCACCTGCACGACCCAACCAGGGCCAGGGACAAACTGCAACCAAAATGTGTGCCCTTAGCAGGAACCAAACCTGGGTTTCTCCTTACCACAGGCCAACGCTCTAACCGCTGAGCCAAATCAGCCAGGGCTACATCGTTGGTATTTGATGGGGATTGCACTGAATCTATAGATTGCTTTGGGTAGTTTGGTCATTTTAATTATGTTAATTCTTCCAATCCATGAACAAAGTATGTGCTTCCACTTTTTTATATCTTCCTCTATTTTTTTTGAATGTCCTGTATTTTTCTGCCAAATAGGTCCTTTACTTCTTTGGTTAAGTTTATTCCTAGGTGTCTTAATGTTTTTGCCACAGTGGTAAATGGGGTTGTTTTTTCAGTTTCTCTTTCTGTGAGTTCATTATTGGTGTATAAGAATACCATCAATTTCTTGACGTTAATTTTTGTATCCTGCTACTTTGCCAAATTCATTATTAAGTTTAGTAGATTTTTGATGGAGTCTTTAGGGTGTTCCATGTATAATATCATGTCATCTGCAAATAATGACAGTTTTACTTCCTCCTTTCCAATTTGGATCCCTTTTATTTTTACTTTATGTTTGATTGCTGTGGCTAAGACTTCAGTACTATGTTAAATAAGAGTGGCAAAAGTGGGCATCCCTGTCTTGTTCCTGTTCTTACTGGAAATGCTTTAAGTTTCTGCCCATTGAGTATGATGTTGGCTGTAGGTCTCTTATATATGGCCTTTATTATGTTGAGATATGATCCCTCTATTCCCATATTGCTGAGTGTTTTTATCAGAAATGGGTGCTGGATTTTGTCAAAGCCTTTTTTGATTTTTATTCTTCTTTCTATTTATGTGGTGTATCACATTTATTGAATTGCAAATATTGTATCAGCCTTGCATCCCTGGGATGAATCCCACTTGGTCATGGTGAATAATTTTTTTGATGTATTTCTGGATCCGATTTGCTAGTATTTTGTTCAGGATTTTGGCGTCTATGTTCATCAGTGATATTGGACTGTAGTTGTCTTTCTTTGTAGTGTCTTTTTCTGGTTTTGGAATTAGAATTATGTTGGCCTCATAGAACGAGATTGGAAGTCTTCCTTCTTCTTGAGTTTTTTGTAATAGTTTGAGGAGAATGGGTGTTAGTTCTTTTATGAATGTTCAGTAAAACTCCCCGGTGAAGCCATCCAGGCGTGGGCTTCTGTTTGCTGGGAGAGTCTTGATTAACTCTTCAATTTCCTTAGTTGTTATTGGTCTGTTCAAGTTTTTTATCTCTTCTCGGTCCAGTTTTGGGAGACTATGTGTTTCTAGAATTAGTCCATTTCGCTTAGATTGTCAAATTTGTTGCCATATAATTGTTCATAGTAGTTAACAATCTTTTGTATTTCTGTGGTGTCAGTTGTTACTTCTCCTCTTTCATTTCTGATTTTGTGTATTTGGGTTCTCTCTCTTTGTTTCTTGGTGAGTCTAGCTAAAGGTCCATCAATCTTGTTTATCTTTTCGAAAAACCAGCTCTTTATTTCATTTATCCTTTGAATTATGTTTTTGGTCTCCATGTCATTTATTTCTGCTCTTATCTTTACTATTTCCTTCCTTCTACTTGCTCTGGGGTTTTCTTTTTGTTTGCTTTCTAGTTGTTTAAGTAGTGAGGTTAGATAATCTATTAGAGATTTTTCTTGTTTCTTGAGGTAGGCCTGTAGTGCTATGAACTTCCCTCTCAGAACTACTTTCACTGCATCCCATAGATTTTGTGTTGTTGTTAAACTTAAGTAAGTTTTATTGCCCCCAAATTGGCAGTCACCCTGAATGATAGTCACTCTGATAATAATAAAGAAATTAACAATAATATTTATTTTTATATTCATGATGATTTTTAATATTGCAGAAGATGTAATATTAACATAGTTTATGTAATATTTGTGGTTGGATTGGGTACCTTGTATCATGTGAAATGCTCAGCTCCGTGGTCAATATCCAATATTAAGAGTTGGCCTGAACAAAGTAGCAGGATACAAAATTAACGTCAAGAAATCGATGGCATTCTTATACACCAATGATGAACTCACAGAAAGAGAAACTAGGCAAACAATCCCATTTACCATTGCGGCAAAAAAATTAAGATACCTAGGAATAAACTTAACTAAAGAGATAAAGGACCTATTCGCAGAAAACTACAGATCTTTGAAAAATGAAATAGAGCAAGATGTAAAAAAGTGGAAGAACATACCCTGTTCATGGATTGGGAGAATTAACATCATTAAAATGTCCATATTACCCAAAGCAATCTATAGATTCAACGCAATCCCCATCAAAATACCAACGGCATACTTCAAAGAATTAGAACAATTACTTCAAAAGTTCATATGGAACCAAAAAAGGCCTCGAATAGCCACAGCAATCTTGAAAAGGAAGAACAAAGTTGGAGGGATCACAATACCAGATTTCAGGTTATACTACAAAGCCACCATAATCAAAACAGCCTGGTACTGGCACAAGAACAGGTATATAGACCAGTGGAACAGAATAGAGAACCCAGAAATGGACCCTAGGCAATATGCTCAATTAATATTTGACAAAGGTGGCAAGAGCATACAGTGGAGTAAGGACAGCCTCTTTAATAAATGGTGCTGGGAAAATTGGACAGCTACTTGCCGAAAAATGAAACTAGACCATCAACTTACACCCTACACCAAAATAAACTCAAAATGGATAAAAGACTTAAATGTAACCCATGAATCCATAAAAATCCTAGAGGAGACTGTGGGCAACAAAATCTCAGACATCATACGCAGCAGAATTTTTACTGACACATCACCTAAGGCAATAGAAACAAAGGAGAAAATGAACACATGGGACTACATCAAACTCAAAAGCTTCTGCACAGCGAAAGATACAATCATCAAAACGGAAAGGCTACCCACTGTATGGGAGAGCATAATTGCCAATGATATATCAGATAAGGGGTTAATTTCCAATACATATAAAGTGCTCACACAACTCCACAAAAGGAAGACAAAGAATCCAATTAAAAAATGGGCAGAGGAACTAAATAGACACCTCTCCAAACAGGACATACAAATGGCTAAGAGACATATGAAGAAATGTTCATCATCACTAATCATCAGAGAGATGCAAATCAAAACAACAATGAGGTACCACCTCACACCGGTCAGAATGGCCGCCATCAACAAATCATCAAACAACAAGTGTTGGCGAGGGTGTGGAGAAAAGGGGACTCTAGTACACTGCTGGTGGGAATGCAGACTGGTGCAGCCACTATGGAAAACAATATGGTGTCACCTCAAAAAATTAAAAATTGAACTCCCATTTGACCCAGTGATCCCACTTCTAGGAATATACCCTAAGAAGCCTGAAACACCAATCAGAAAGAATATATGTACCCCCATCTTTGTAGCAGCACTATTTACAATCGCTAAGATCTGGAAACAGCCCAAGTGCCCATCAGTAGACGAATGGATTAAAAAGCTGTGGTACATATACACAATGGAGTACTACGCAGCGGTAAGAAAGAAAGATCTCTTATCCTTTGAGACTACATGGAGGGACCTGGAAAGTATCATCCTGAGTGAAACAAGCCAAGCAGAGAAAGACAAATTTCATATGATCTCACTGATTTCTGGAATATAATGAACATAACAGTTTGAGGACAATCCCCTAAGGAGTGGGGAGCTGAGAGAGGGATGAACAACAGAATTTATATGCATATAGGCATGAACAGTGGACATGGACAACAATCGGGGGAAGGGGCGGGGAGGGAAGGGGGAGGGGGGAACCACTGGGGGGAAAAAGGTGAATCATTTGTAACAAAAATTATTCAATAAAAAAAAAAAAAAAAAAAAAAAAAAAGAAAATCAAGAAGAAAAAAAAAAAAAAAAAAAAAAAAGAGTTGGCCTGAAGAGGTGGGTTAAAGTAATGATCCCTGAGGAAAGAAGTGAAGTAAGAAAATCTTTAAAGAGGACTTTCTAAATATTATATTATAAAAATTATCCAGATCCCATCTTCCTATTTTCAAAAGAATGCTGTGTTTTCCAAATAAAAAGGTAAGTTTAGTAACAGTAATAGTGGCTAATAATATAAGGCCAAATTTCAGACAGACAACAGTTTGCAGAGCTGACAGCATTGGATATTGGTGTAAACTTCATGTTTTTCACATTGTTTTCAGGTTTGCATTAATGCAGAATGTGTGGATATTGAGAGAGCCTACAAATCAACCAATTGTTCATCTAAGTGCAAAAGACATGCTGTAAGTCTTGAAAATATTTCCCCAAGCTTGCTGAATCTTATGTACTTTTTAGGTCAGTTTTGATTATATAAAATAATATTTCAGTGTGAAATAATTAAAATGCTTAAGTTTGTCTAACCCCTAAGTGATGTGTTTCAATGAAAAATTTCTTCTAAGAACTTGGTATGTATAAAATTTCTATTATTGATTTGGAGATGGTCGAAAAATGCAGAACAGGGGCTATTCCATTTTTAGAATGGACTTAATGGTGGATGGGTAGGCCCTTGGGTGGATGGTTAGTCTACTGTGGAAACTGACTGGATTGTTGATCCCCCAGGTGTGTGACCACGAGCTCCAGTGCCGGTGTAAGGAGGGCTGGGCACCTCCTGATTGTGATGACTCCTCTGTGGTCTTCTGTAGGTAACATTACACATTTAACCTGAGAAACTGCTCTTCTTTCCCAAGCTATTTGTTTCATATGACAAAAGATTTCATTGCCTCTTTTCTCTCCTCTTGGAATGTCTGTACTCTAAATACTGAATCAACAATATTAATCTTCAAAGTCTCTTTAACAGACTTCTAATCCTATTTTCTACATCCTTATGCATTTACTCTACATACAAGAAGATTTCTTCAAATTTTATGTTTATAATCTTATTTTAATTTCCCAAATTATCTTGTTTTCTGAGTGTTCCATTTTCATACCAGCCTTGACTTAAAGTATAGATATAACTTCCTCATAAAACTCTCTAAGAATATGACAGATCATTTTTGTAGGTTTAATTCTGTTTTCTGAACTACCTCTATTTCTTTTGAGTTTGACAATTCTGTTTTTTTACCCTGTCTCTTGTATTTCATTGTATTATTGTGTATGTGATCTTTTATTGAATATGGGATTAAGTTGACTTGAGTTAGTTCATATGGATTTTCTTTGCATGTACTTACCAATAACTTCTGCTGAGGGAGAGTTGGCTGTGAGCTGTATCAGTAGATAGACACCACTCCCTACAGGCCATCAGGGTGGTAAGCAACTTGACTGGAGGTCCTCACTTCTAGTCGCTGTGGTGAAGAGTACTTTGCCATGAGGAGAGAGGTCTTTATTTCATTTACTTTCTGAGAGAGTTGATTTTTCTTTGCACTCAATTTCTCCTTGATTCTTCCTTCTCTCTTTGATTTAGTATAGTATCTGCCATTAGCCTCTGTGCTGTTTCTTGGGCATGAGCCACTCCAGTTATATATACACATGGGATGGGGAGAGGCCTGAATGAATCATCTGTCCCAAGTTCAGATTCTCTGTTGACTTCCCAAGAAAAAATAGCATCTACTTCTGATGATTGGGCTTGTTAATATTTTTTTTTTAATTTGTTGATTTTTTGTTAGACTTCCCGAGAAGAAATAGCATCTACTTTTGATGTTTGGAGCTTTAATTTATTCTGTTTCTCTCCACATAAATTCTTATACTTGCTATATTTTTATAATTCTTTTCATTTTCTGGAAGGTGGGAAATATCAGATACTTGAAGAGAAATTATCTTACCAGGAAACCTACTACTGCTGTCTGCATGTATGTGTGTTCACACTTGTGAACTTTTCTTGTATTTATACACAATATAATCTTACTTGCAATCTCTTTAATAAGAGAATGATAGCTGTTTGAATTGCTCTTCAAATTTGTACTTCTTGATACCTGTGGTTTCCAATTATTATAAGAAAAATGAATATTTGAAATACCATAGTATTGAGGTTACATTTATTATTTAGATAAGTAGGTAAAACAAAAACACCACAGATAAGCAGGAAATTTGTTTAAACCATCCCCCAATTCACAGGGTCACATAATTTCTTTTTTGTCCATGATTTTTCTGATATAGAGCAAAATTCAATAGAATACCTAGTTGTGTCTCTGTCAATTGTCTTATATCTCAGTTCCTTATTTGCTACTGACAGGAATAGAATTTCAAGTCTTCAGTTTCTTTTTCCCTGTTTTATTTCAAGGTTGAGTGTTAAAAACATTTCACTCCTTTTCTACCATCTCCCTTATTTTATATTCCCTTTAAATTTTCAGTCATTCATTCTCCAGTTATTACAGACATCATTCCTTCTAATACTTCTCAGTAGTATTTGCTTTACCTATCTTACATGAAATGTTTTATATAGATTTCCCCTTTATTTACTTCATCTAAATAATATTTCTAATCATGATCAAAATTCATCTTCATTTTACTGCCTATGAGATATTTTCCAAAGAATGCATATTCTCTGGGGAAAGGGTAGATGGAGTTTGGCTAAATGAGCATAAGTACTAATGTGATGTGTATGTGTGGATTTCTCATAACCTCACTCAGCCTGCATCTCTGTTGCAGACTTCTCCATTGTGGTTGGGGTGCTGTTCCCTGTGGCTATCATATTTGTGGTGTTTGCTATATTATCTCGTCACCAAAGCACCCGAAGAAATCAGAAGAAAGTCCAGAGGTAGGCTTTTATCTGAGGACTTTTTGGCCTCTAATTTATTTTAAATTCAAAGATATGATCCAAATTATCAAATTTAATTTTGGTTTACTTCAAGTATTTAGAAATAAGTACAGTTACATTTTGCTTGGACCAGAAGCTGAGTATCCCTTTTACTGAGAAATCTTTAATATAAGACATGTCTTTTTTTATGTAATTACTGTATATATAATTAATAATAAGATAAATAACTCATTATTAAAGATTTTTCACTTATAATAAGAATACATATCTAACCTTTATTGATCACTATCTTTATGATAATCACTTTTATTAAGTCCTTTTACATACATTATCTCATTGCATCTCACAAGAATATCATGAGGCAGTAACTATTTTTTTGTATTTGATAGGTTAAAAGATGGTATATATTAATTTTACAGCAATACTGCAAGGTTAGGCACTTCGCATTTTACCGATGTGGAAACAGGAGCTCAGAGAGGTTAATAAACATGTTCGAAGTTTCACAGTTAGTGATGGAGTCTTGACATGCACTAAGGTCAGTCAGTCTTTTGAACATGTTCTTGACACTACAGCATCTTTCTTGCATTTTATTTTTATTTTCTATTTTATTTTTTTTGGTATGTGCCCCCAGCGAGAACCAAACCCGGGACTCTCTGGTCCGCAGGCCAACTCTCCAACTGCTGAGCCAAACCGGCCAGGGTTCTTTCTTGCATTTAAAAAAAGACTATTTACCCATAATGGGCTATTAATAAATATTGAAGGGATAAAGTAAATCATTAATTAAATCACATAATTTAGAAAAAGTTGGATTCAACACCATCATTATTACAATTCAGGGCTCTGCAAGAGAATCCAAAAGAAAATCAGTGATGGTGATGATGACTTACCTGAAGAACATCTTAGGGAGCATGTGAAAACCCAGTCACCAAGGATAACTCAACAGGCAAAGGAAATCGGCAAATTTATCTTGAGTTTCTTTCCAAGGGAGAACAAACTACTAAGTAAATTTGTGTGATATATTTTTACGTATAGGCCACTGGTTACCACTGGCACTATGTCCTGCAGACAGAAGAGGAAACCACAGTTGGAGAAGGTTGTTCAACCCCAACAGGTTAATCATAGTTTGTACTATGCTTGCTGTGGACCCCAGTTTGTGATTCTCTCTCTCCTTTTTTTTTTTTTTTGCCCTGACCATCTATCTGTTATTTCTATTCATCAGTGTTTTATAAATTCACTGATTTGTGAGTATGCAGCAAGGATTGTGGGCTCTGTAACTACATATTCAGAAATTTGGTTAAATGCAGAAGAGTCTCCCTAAAATGCAGAAATGTGTAAGCTGCTTTGCTGGGATTCACAAAATACAAACAGAATAGAGACAACAAGTAGGGCAGATGTCAGATCTCTCTCTCTCGCTCTCTCTCTCTCTCTCTCTCTCTCTCTCAATTTCTGATTTCTTTAAAATTGTCCCAATAAAGAAAATAATACACGTATTTGTATGAATATGTGTGTGTGTGTGTGTGTGTGTGTGTGTGTGTGTGTATACATAATATGTATAACTCCTAATGCCTTGGTGGTGTCCTGCAAGTTTAAAATGATAATGGCCTTGGTAATAGTGTTTTTGATGGAAATTTACAATCTCCAATAGCTCTGGACATAGCAGAATGCAGAAGCTAGACACTGTGATTTCCCATCCAGTCTTCTGGTGTCATCTCAGTTCTGGTCTCCCATGCTTTGAAAGTCCAGCTTATTTGGAGGCTAAACATAGGACACTGATACATTTATTTTGAAATATGAATATATATACATTTTTATTTTAAGATGAATCAGATGAAGCTTCATGCCCCTGATGTACCAGTAGATGGGAGTGATCCTCCAGCTTCTTTTGTGAGTTAGCAACTTCTCTTAAATGTCACTTCCAATCTAACTTTAAGGAAATAATAGTGAAAGACATAACCTACAATGTCCAATTATTTCTTTAGAAGATTGTTGCAATCTGTGTGATTAAAATAAAATATAGATTATTCTACACAACTTTTTGAAAATACCTAATTTGAGAATGTGTGCCTATTCATTATACTCCTAAATTTGACCCTTAAACCAGAATTGTCACATCTATAAAGCTGCTAACTCATTACAGGAATAGTGCCAATCTGCTTCATAGAGTGGCATCTCAATCATATATCTATTGGCATTGGATTTATTTCTCAGTTGTATGTGTACACTTAAATGAAAACCATTTAGACCATTCTCATAGGTTTAGACCATTCTCATGGGTGAGGTCATAAATTCTCTATTTCTGAACATAATTTAAGCCTTTCCATTAAGCACATCTGTTTTTAAGATCTCATCTTTGAATTATTTTTTTTTATCTCTTACCAGCTAACTACAAAGCCAGATTTTTCACCACCTCCAATTCCTACATCTGTATCATCTTCCTCTTTTGTTGTAAGTATCAGATGGTGCTTGGTGATCTTTTAAATGTATTTTGTGCCCACTGCGAATGTGTCTTTAAATCTATAGGGTCCTTTATCAAGACATGTGCTTCCTAGGCTAATCTGAGATACGATGGCAAGGTCTATTTACTACCTATAAATGATTATAGGTATTAATTTATTATTATTAAAAATAGTCCTGTTATGTAATTGTTAAGAAATTATAAATAGTTCTGCTGTAGAAGACAAACTATATACCTCAAAGAATAGTTTCTAGATGCTGATTTTGGAGGATGTAAAATTTAATATATTATATTTTACTTTTTTATTTATTATAGATAGAATAAGACCTATGTTAGTCATAATTTTCTGTAGGAGGTAGGGCATGAAAAACAGACCACACATAGGCAAATGTGGAATAAAAGTCAGGCACTCGTGAAGTAAAGTAATTAATTCAGTCAAGTAGTCACTGAGCATATTTCCTCTGTTGGGGTGCTCTGTTGTGAGTAAATGAATAAACTAAAATTTAAGGTCTTTGTTGTTGTTTTTTTTTCCAAGAACTTCTACAATTTTAGTTGGAAAACAAGTCAAATATATATCAATCACTTAATTGCTCATATAATATTTATGCCAAAGCAGGTGATCCTGAGGAGAATATGGAAAGGGGGAAATGAATGGGGTCAGGTGGTTAAAACAGGAAGAAAATCCATTGATTAAGTAGCTGGAATTTGAACTGGACTCTGGGGGTTAGGTAGAATTTACATGAATAATGAGAAAGTCAGGAAAGATTTAAATAAGGAAATAAGTATAGCTAAGATGGGAAATGCATAGCATTTCTAATGATTTACCATTATTTTTGTTTCTAATATAGCATAAGAAAATACAGGTTGTTCCCTTTACTGTTTTCAAGGATAAGGCAGTGTCTATGCCTAAAAACTATAGCCAAATTATTATAATCCTGTAGCACCCCTAGAGTCAAGGAGAGAAATAAAAACCACGTCTTCCCAGATATTCACTAAGAATATCTGTATGATTGTAGGATGGGTGCTAACATATGTCTGCCTTCTGAGTTTGACCAACAATCAACAGGAAGAAGATGGGTGGGTCTTAGATATAAAGTGATGATGATTTCAATATTCTTCATTCTTTCAGAAAAATCCCCCAAGGATAGTGACATGGAGGAAGTACCCCATAAAATAATAATCACCTAATATCTTATAATTCTTCTCCTGATCCCCCACTGTCTCCACATTATACTAATTAGTTGGATGGATATTTACATCTCAGTGTGGTGTTTTTCTTACCTTCTTTTCTTATACTCCCATGTTCTCACTCCTGCCCTGTGATGTATCAAATGATCCATAAAATAGAAAGTGTGACTACAGGGAATTAATTTTAATTTCTTAATATTTCAAAGTTATGAAATATACACATTTTTAGGAAAAGTTGATCATTTAAGAGTTTTATCTTTTTCAGGACTCCAATCCAAATGTCTGAAGCAATAGCTAAGCAAGGATTGGTGGAAAAATGATCAACTTGGAAGACTGGGCCATCTGGATGAAAGAGAAATATATGGACTATTTTACTACTATTTGCTTTTGATACCCAAGGAGGTTAAAATTTCTTAATTCAAGTCATACTTTCAAAAGAGTAAACACAATTTTTCAAGAGAGGTGTACTTTTGAGAATCTTTTTTGAATTTAAAATTTCTGTTCTTCATATTCAGGGGAAGGAAGATGACTCTACAAATACAGTTTTGAAGCTGAAATTTCAAATTAGGTGACTTTTCTACTCCCCCACATTTTTTTTTTTTTTACTGTGATGTTGATTAATATTTGTTCAAATATCTTGAACACCTTGATTTTCTTACCCTCTAATAAAAATAAAATACAAGTAATCACAGGAAACAGGGAAGGATGGGAGAAAAATAGTACTCATCATTGGAAAACTGACAATAACTTAATTGTTTTAACCATTAACCTGTCAAATTAGAACCCTTTGTTAAGAAAAATCATATAAACATTTTCTGATTTATATAATATCTCTTTCCTATATTATCTTCTACAATCCATATGAGCTATATAATTTAAGGTTTATTACAATTGAATAAACTTTACCAATTAAAAATATTTTTCATAAAACTTTTTATAACTTAGTTACTGGCAAGGTGAAAGTGAACTTTACTTTTTAAGTAAAGAACTTCTAGTTAAATAAATAAAATCAGAGATTATAAACTGGTAGCCTTACAGACATGTACGAATTACAAATTTATTCTTACTGGACCTGAATAATTTCGGCCACAAAGTATTTTTAAGTGTTTTGCATTTATTTATGCAACAAGTCCCAGTATTTAAAAATTGGGACATGTTGCATAAACATCCAGATTTCCAGCTTATTAATAATTAAACAATCTGTCAACACTAATCACAGGCTCATAGCAAACATTTGCTTAGTTGACGGGTGATGGAACAAACATTGTTGGTTGCCTGTCAAATAACCGTCGTCTTTGTTGCTTCCAGAGCTCCAAATTGTTCAGTTGTCCATATTTATTTATTTATTTAAAAAAAATTTTTTTCTTTATTGATATTTTTAGAGACAGAGAAAGGGAGAGGGAAAAGAGATACAAACATTGATGATAGAGAACATCAACTGGCTGCCTCCTGCGTGCCCCCCACTGGGGAGCAGGCCCACAACCTGAGCATGTGCCCTGACTGGGAATGGAACTGATGACCTCTTGGTGCATGGGTCCATGGTCAATCACTAAGCCAACTGGCTGGCCATTCAGTTGTCCATATTTTATTGTATTGATTTTATTTTTAGAGAGAGAGGAAGGGAGAGAGAGATAGAAACATCAATGTGAGAGAGAAACATCAATTGGCTGCCTCCTACACACCTCCTACTGGGGATCAAGCCCACAACCAGGTCTTGTGCCCTGACCCCTGACAGGAAATCAAACTGGGACCTCTCAGTCCATGGGATGACATTCAATCTGCTGAGCCATGGCAGCCGGACACAGTTGTCCATATTTTAAAAGAGTAATTCTAACTCCCTCTCAATAGATTATTACTCTAAGTCAACTTAAGAATCTCATTTTCCTTACTAGTGGTTGATTTGGAGGTGAGAGCAGTCCCTCCCCACCCCACCCCCACTTTTTTTTTTTTTTTTTTTTTTTTTTGCCAATGAGACAAGGGAGGAGATATACTGAGGACTTTCTTGGAAAAATCCCCTCGTCCCTTCTTCGGGGTGTTCCCTCTGGCATATCCTCTCTGGCAGTGTCACAGCCATGTTGCAATTAGGTAGAGCAGAAAGATGAAAACAATACAGTTTGGTCTTTCAATAATGTCATTGAACTGGCAGATTAGTAACTGCTGGAGTCACCCCACACTTTGTTAGGACTTCCTATTTATATGATCAATACAATTTCTTACTGTTTAAGCCATTTCAAGTTGGATTTTCTCTTACTTGTAACAGAAGTCATTCCATTATTTGGACACAAGCTTTCCACTTCAGCAATACCACTATACAGTGATACCTCGGTTCTCGAACGCCTCGGATTTCAACCAAATCGGTATTCGACCAGGAGATTCGAGAAACTTTTGTCTTGGTATCCGAACAAATATTTGGAACTCGAACTTCCGAGATGAGCCGAGTTGAGCCGAATGGCGTTCATTCGGCCCAGCGCGCCTTGCTTGCGTCATCAGTGTGAGTGCAGAGAGAGAGTCACGCTTTGTGGAGTCACGCTTTCCTATTGGGGTTTCATTGCTTCGGTTCTCGAACAATTCGGTTCTCGACCGTCCTCCTGGAACGAATTATGTTCGAGAACCGAGGTATCACTGTACATTTATACTAGGCTTGCTTTACTCATTTGCAGCATGGATCTGGCCTCATTGACCTTTCTTTCAATGGGGGACTTTGCCTACAAGAAGTTCATTTGGCCTTGCAGTGTGAATTTCTAGATAAACTCATGCTGGCCTCAGAAGTGAAGCTCAATCCCCGGCAAACCCAGAGTCCATCTGTCAGATCATTTTAATTGCAGCAACTTTTCTTTCCATGTGGGAGTTTAATCAAGAACACATTAAAAAGATACAGCTTTATCTGCAGTGTGAGGTTTCAGAAGACCCTGCCTTAAGCCAGAAATAAATCTCTATTTGCAGCAAGGCCATAATCTTAATGTATGATCATCTATGAATCTTTGCTGGGTTACGTTGTTGTTGTTTTATTTGTTTTCATTCCTGTCCCCGTCTCATTCTTTTAATACTGACAAAATAGGAATATTGAACCTATGAATCTTCAAATAGCCACCTATATAACCTGAGCTAGAAACAAAACAGATGCTCTCCAGAAATGAACATTCCTGTAATTCTGAAATGATGTCACTAGGTCCTTGAGGCTTATGGAGATGGATGACAGGAGGACAATGACGGAAAAACCATTCTCTTTTCCTAAGACTTTGAACTGAAACCTTACTAAGTTTCCTGGTGCGCTGAACTACAGACCAATTTATACAGTTTAAAACAAAGACTCTGATTTCACAGTCCTGTTTCCAAACTAGATCTGCAATACACTAACTTTAGGAGACTTCTTCTAATATGATATTTAAACACCTCATGTATGCCACCAAACCTTATATACATATATATTTTAAAATTTTACCAGATTAAATTGTGTGTTTTTTCCAGGTACTCTAGGACTGGTGTACCATAGGATATTACTAAATACTCCTTAGTACTTCAACCATTTACTGCTTTTAATGACTTTAGGAATGCTTTTAACTTTGTATGAAATTATGAAGTCTGCATGAAAAGGAAAGCAAGCTTTACATGCAACCAGAAGTTATGAAAAGGGGGAAGCTATGCTACTATTTAAGTTGGTAAGAATGATACCTATGTGGCAAAGAATTGAGGATAATCTCTGCCCAACAGCCAGTGAGAAACTGAGTACTTCAATCCAATGACCCTGAAGGAACTAATTCTGCCAACAAGCACTGAATGAGCTTGGAAACAGTTCTTATCCCAGTGGGATTTTGACTGACACTTCATGAGAGAAACTGAAGCAGAAGACTCAGCTAAGTTTTGACCACATTATACAAGCACATAAATTGTGAGATAATTAGGTGTTCTTTTAAGCAACTCTGGTTTGGGAAAATTTGTTATACAACAAGTGATAATTGCTACCAAGTGGATACACATCAAATGTTTACAATATTCCAGACCAGTTTACACAGAATTAACTGCTGTATTTGACAGGACTTCCATCATCTCAAAATTAATTTCTTTCTTTCTCTCTTTCTTTCTCTCTCTTTCTTCCCTCCCTCCCTCCCTCCCTCCCTTCCATCCTTCCTTCCTTCCTTCCTTCCTTCCTTCCTTCCTTCCTTCCTTCCTTCCTTCCATTTCTTTCTTTCTCTCTCTCTCTCTTTTTCTTCCTCCCTCCCTCTCCCTCCTTTCTTTCTTTTCACTTTCATTTATTCCTTCCTCTTTTTTCAGAATACTGATTATCTGCTTGAGATCACTAATATCCGGTCTTCTCAAATATCATGTTCTCTCTCACTTTTGTTTACCTACTTCCTTAGTACTTTTGAAAAATTTCTTAATTTTATTTTCCAAATTATTTATTTTATGTTTAATATTGTCAATCCTCACTTTTACTAATTTTAAAGCATTTTATAATTGTTTCTTATCTTTGCTTGGTAACATTCTCTTCTTTTCTATCTCACATTAGTTTATAAAGGCCTACCAATTAACTGTTTTATTCTTTTGTTTCCAGAATTTTACTTCTAAAATTAAATTAACAAAGAAAACTTTATTAGTATGTCTCAAAGTAACTATTTTTCAAAAGTATATCCTTCCTCTGCCATTTGAGTACTATATTCTTTGTCATTCACCAACACAACTATCTCCAGGTGGCTCACCTTTATGTTCTATTTCAGCCTAAAAATTAATCTCACATTTTATATATTTGATGATAGATTCTATCTCTTGAGGAAAGAACTCTGGTACACCAGCATGCTGAGTGTAATTATAGCAATAAGTGGGGTCATAAGTAAATTTTACATATTCTTCTCTGCTCAGATTCTTTTTTCTCCTTAAGCCAAAGCTGTCTACCATGGCCAGACCAAGAGTGACACAGCCTTGTTGGAGATCCTGAGATACACCTCATTAGGAAAACTCCTGACTCATTAAGGGGAAATCCTCAAACAATACAATTTGTAATCATCTTGGGACATTTGCTCTTGAATTTCCCTAATCTTTTCTGCTGCTTGCAGAAAAAAAAGACCTTTTCTTGTCAATGGCCACTTTAGACATTGCTTAGCAACTAGCCTGGGTGGTCTGCTATGCTGTTCAACACTAAACATTTACTAGACTTAATAAATGAATTTGGCAAAGTGGCAGGATACAAAACTAACGTCAAGAAATTGATGGCATTCTATATACCTATGATAAACTAACAGAAAGAGAAACTAAGAAAACAATCCCATTTATCATTGTGGCTAAATAATTAAGATACCTAGGAATAAACT